ACAGCAAAGTGGGAAGAAAATCGTCCAAAAGGAAAATCGCCATACAATTGTGCAGCGTCATGTCAAAGTCGATTTATTTAGACCGTTTAACTATAGATTATTTTGTGCATAATCATTTTTGTTTTGAGAACATCAACCACTTTACTCGATATTCGGGATTTGAGTTTTCACAGTCATTTTTGTTATTTTTTCATTGCCGCCAAAAACTGCTTCGAAATTGATTGAAATAAAAATGAGTGGCAAATCGTTTTTGTTTGATGTGAAAATTGGGTGTCGACCAATGGCCAATGAAAGGCATCGTCAGAGTTATTTTTTCACATCCCGATCGTTAAAAAAAATACTTGATTATGTTTTCTTCACATTTTCCGTTGAACTACTAAAACAAATTTCTTATCCTTTGGAATTTCTCCAATCGACTTTTCTCCAACACCAAATCAAAACACAATTAATGTTTTCATTTTTTATCGACATTTTAATATGATGATTTTCAACCACACAACAGATAGTAGTAAATATTCTGAATTGTAAACAAAAGTGTTTTTCAACTAAAATGCTTATTTTATTAACATCCAAATGGCTCAAATCAATGTATGTAAGCCATATCACACATTGCAATGAAATTACTTGGAATGCGGTGCATCGATGCTGTCGCGGTTATAATCTCGTCGTGAAATGCACTGTAATAGATGTGTATTTTGATTGCATTGAAAACACGGTTTTTTTTCTCTCTTGTCGAACACATTATGGAAAACACATTGTAAACACATATATTTGAAATAAACATAGGCGCACGCACACGCAGAATCAATATAACATCTTGTGTAGCCGAATTTTTTTTTTTTCGAAAGAGACAGAATGAGAAAAAAAACGGCAGATGTGTTAAATGCGATGCATCACCGTTAACGGCAAAACAACCAAACGGTAAGTGATCCTTTTCTCGTCCATTCTTTTCTCGTCTCTATTCCTCGACACACGAATCAATGCTATTTTACATGAATTTCCATGTTAATCAACTGTGTATATTGTTGCGCTATTTTCAGCTTTTTCCAACCAAAAAAAATCTCTCTAATAAGATAGGAAAGTTCACAAATATAATTGTAAATAACCCAGTGTATTGAGTAACTAATCAACACTACTTCACACTCTGCACATCATAAATATGCGTAAATAAGTTGATGACTTTTCTTCTTTTCTCCGGCTCTCTCTATCTTCGTTTAATGAATTTTATGTGTGCTCCGGTAAAAGATCAGTAACCGTTTTGTGTTCCATATTGGAATAAATGGCACCAATACACCATAAACTAACCAATATCCTTCTCGTGCCCGAATATTAACACAGATCGCGTTCATGCATCGGGTTGAGCGATGTCAAACGAAATTAATTGCTCAAACGACACATTTGAAAACTTCAAAGAATTTCCACGCAGTTTTTTTTATAAATATACTCAAATTCAGTGGAGCTTTGAATTTGTGTGGTGCGCATTCGTATCATTTCAAAATTTGAATGTTTTGTGACTATTTGTCAGTTTTTTAATCGCTGACAATTATTCACAATTGAGCGCGTTTCGAATTCGTTCCATTTTGATGAATCAATCAAAATGCTCTGCATATAATAAAATGCACCATATGCAATTGCGGCAAAGTTAAATCTTATGGAAAATAATGCGTTACAATTCCGTCATCCTTATGGCCGGATAAACCTTTTTGATTTTGATTAATTTCTGTCGACGAACAGATGATTAACCACAGAGAAAAAAAAAGAATTCATCGATCTAAATAAAAGCCAAGCGTTGAAAGTGCTAAGGTGAACATATTGGAATTGAGTTGTCGATTCATGTCTGTTTTTCGATCAATCGAGTGCACAATATGATGAATCGATGAAATTTCACGATGCTTCAAGTGAAACGAAATGCACTCAAACAACAATGTCGTCAGCCACACAACAGATGTTTTCAAACCAAGATTTTGCTTGGAGTTTACTTACCACCAAATCTCAAGGGTAATTTTCATCTTTTCTAAAACGCAGCCTTGAAACAACTTTGTTTTAAATACATTACACCAGAAACAATTTACTCAACGAAATGTTATTGTTTCAGCTAAAGAGAATGCGTAAATTTCAGGAAAAAAAAGAGAAAGACATGAATGTTTGCACTATTCATTGAAAAGTGTCAATAGTAGGAGCGTGAGAACTCAATCCTCAAGTTTTTCATTTTCCTCAATTTCCGAATTTTATGTGAAAAACGTAACGTAAAAAAACTAAGTCCTGGGAATTTGTTTAATATTTATTTGCACCAAGTGCAAGAGAAAAAGAGATTCGTACTGTGCGTGAGAACCAAACCAAAGTTGTAGAGATACATTTTTACGATTGTTTCTATATTATCTCACCCACCGATGTACACAAAAGAAAGTTTCGAGTTACAGCCATCAACAAGTGCGTAGCTGCAGCAGTAACAACGAAAACAAATAAAATAGAAATGGGCAAAGAATCATTGGTGATTCTTTTCTGTGTGTATGTGCATAAAATTATTATTAAAAAACAATAACACGAACACAGGTATTTCAGGTTCATTTGTATCGGGGAATTTCCCCATTCAATTCAAAGGTGGCATATTTTTATGATGCTGTTGTCGAACGAAAAGAAGAGATTTTAAGGGTGGCAAATCGCAAAATCGGTTTGTCAAAGTCACTTCGATGTGTTTCTTCTTCTATTTTTTTTGTCTACATTTTTTTCGTCTTAGTATTTAACCATTTCACCGGCGTTGCTGCTTTGCTTCAATGGAATCAATCGAAAATATTTCTTTTCTATTGAATTCTCATATTTCGAGTTAGGCTTTTTTCATGTGCATGTTATTTGTTTATTTGACTGTTGAGTCCTTTGAATGATATTTTCGAAAACACCAAGATTCTCACGTTCAGTGTTCTTTTTTTGTTATGTGTTGATCGGCTGAGTTGTACGATAAACTACGTTCAAATGCCCAAAATTGTGTGTCGGTGATTGAAGATTTATACTTTATATGCACATCAACGGCAGAGTAGTTCTATTTTTTTTGCTAGATAGTTCATGTTGTTCAGTTAAAAGGCCATCATAAATTTCGTCTTTGCTTAGCTCTCTATTGCTCAAAGGCGATGAGAAAATTCCGTTCCGAAAAAATATTGTTTTTTTTTTTTGTACCGAATTTCGGAATTTCAAAACGGAACAAAAAAGGAATGTTTAATAATATCCTTACAATTTCGAAACAATTGAAGAATGAACGCTTGTTTTGGGGTGGATTGAAAATAAATTCAAAGCCAATTTCAAATCCAGAGAAATATAATTCCATTGTGATAATCACGTTCAATCGAAATAACACAAATGCATACTGAACACTCGCTGACTGGATAAATTCTTGTTAATATGCTCTATTGTACATTCCGAAAAATTGGCCGACATGAACGTGAACCCTCTTAAGATGATAGTTTTGACGATGACGACGATGGCGGTAGCACGTTTTTCTCTTTCCACCGTCGCCGACTCGTGCATATGTTGATGCAAACGGTGAATTTTTCCTCGCCTCAACGATGGCACGACTAATAAATAAATCTCGTGACGTGATATAAATACCGGCAAAATACCAATGGAAAATTTATTCGTCGAAAACCATTTTTGATGAGACCATAAATAAATGCTTCATGACGTTGCAATATTCTAATTTTAGCCATGAGCATTGCATTCCAATTCGCAGCCGACTCCTGTTGAGTTATTTCTCGTAAAAAAATATTATGTTTGCTAACATTTTTCCACAATTTTGTTGCTTTTTAATGTTTACGGCAAATATTCGGTGTCTTATGAAATCGAATCACCTTTTAAATGATCAGAATCGTTCCTTGAAAACTATTTGGTTAACTAAATACTGCTGACATCTGGTTAATTCAACCAATTGCTTGTATATTGAATGATTTAAAGCATTACATTTCAATTTGTAAAGTTGTTGCCTTTTTTACACACAAAGTCGTTTGTCGTAAATTTCTTTGCATCAAATTAGGTGATTATCTCTTACATGCCTGACATTGGGTTTATTTATTATTGGCAAATATTTTCTTTCCGCGAAATGAGATAATAAGCTCATCGTTTGTTTTTCGATTTGTCGGATTACCTCAAAATCCCAATCTCAGCAGCAGCACTTAAATCACAAAAGTGATATTTCTATTTCCAGTGAAGAACGACGGTTAACAATGGACAACATTTTTACAAAAAATAATTTGTACCATAAAATACAATGAGATCAATGTAATACAAACAAAAAATGAAACTGTAGAAGAAGAAGAAGGAAAGAAAATCGGTTCCAAACTCATTATTTCTATTCATTCATGGTCTGCACAAATCAACCATTCATGAGAATGAAACAAAAATACTCACCTGAGTCGAGGCATTGCACGTTTTGTCATTTTACCCGTTTATTTTTGCTTGTTATGGACAGTGCTATTTTTTTTCTTCGTTCGTTTTTCCCTTTAGATTGAGATCCGTGACCAATAGGATAGGTGCAAAATTTTGGATTTATCTGATTTTCAGCAAACAACCCAAATTTTCTAATATTCGAATATACACAATGGACAAATTGCCAAATATACCTGTTCTTGTTTTTTAACCACTTTGAGGCCTTTTTTATTCATTGTATTTCAAGTACATTTTGAAGGGAGAAAAATGAAAATTGATTCTATTGAAATTGATCTTGTTGATTGACCTAATAAATAAATAAACATTTTCACTTGAGAAATTCTTTTATTTATTCGAAGAGAGATTATTAATTATAATTTTATTTTCATTTCCAATCAAAAACAGACATAAACGAACTTTGCTCCGTCTGTTTGAAGTGGCGCCATCTCTGTCGCGCTTTTCAAATTCCATTTAGAGTCGAAATGAATTCGATTGTGGCAATACTATTGGTGAAACTCACAAATTCATTTCTGATTGGTTGTGACAATTGCATTCCGAAGATTCGAAACACAAAAAAAAATCCATTGGAAGTCAGAGTGAAGCTTTTCGTGTTACAACCCAACAGAATTCCATCGCCGTGCATTTTTCGACATTGTTCACAGTTGTCACAATGTACTGTCATCAGTTGAAGTCTATAAGTACGAAATGAATTGTGTATAGTGTATGGCGTGTTATATATATTTTCTTTCATTAAATTTATGCGATAAAAAAAGAAAAGAAAGACGGCAACAAAAACTTTCGCAATCTGTGTAACCGGAAGCGAACGAAACCAAATAAGTGAATTTAGTATTGAGTGCATCATTGAGTCAGAAACAATAAAAATCTGTGTAAAAAAATATGTCGAATTTTGATGACAATCCATTTGGAGAGCCAGCGGTCGATAATCCGTTCGCTGTAAAGTGTCATTTTTTTCTATTTTTCTCTTTCATGTTTCCATATTGTGTGTTTGTGCAGTATTTCTTTTTAGTTCGTCTCTGTCACACTAGTTGCTTGTAATGTGATCAGTATTATCTGAATCATTTATACGGCTTAACTATTTGTTGTTTCTAATTACGTTGTCATTTTTTCTTATCGCATATTGTTTGTCATATTTTCAATTAAAAATAGGATCCTGCTGTTCAGCAAGCCGCTCGAATCGCCCCAAAATCAAATATTTTAGAAGAATACAATCCATTCGAGGATGATAACCCTCATACAACAATTCCAATCGGTCAACAACAACAACCGCAACAGCAACCATTTCCAGCCTACAATCAAAATAGTCAAACGAATTCGGCATATGGAAAACAAGCACCACAAATTTCAACAGAAGAGCTTCAGGTGTTGTCACAATTTTTGATTTGATTTTATTCAATATTTAAGACGACATAAGACAAACATTTACATTTTACTTAAAATTTCTTTGAACAGAGAAGACAAGAGGAATTGGAACGAAAAGCACAAGACCTTGAACGGCGAGAGGAACAATTGCGAAATAATGCGGCTGGTATTCGGCGCAACAATTGGCCACCATTGCCAGAGCAATGTTGTTTTCAGCCATGCTTTTATCAAGATATAAATGTTGAAATTCCACCCGAATTTCAGCGCATTGTTCGACATTTATACTATTTATGGGGTTTTTATGCCCTTGTCTTGTGCTGTAATGCATTGGTCGCATTACTTTTGGTACTATTCCATGGCACGGACTATATTGGTCATTTTACATTAGGCCTAATCTATGGCACACTCTTTACACCAGCTTCATTCATGTGTTGGTGAGTCATCCGTTTCTTTTTACTGTCAATATTTCATTATCTTTTTTATTTGGAATCGTATCAAAGAAAAATGGAACTGCCATTTCATAGTATGATAAGATTTTTTTAAAACAAACAAATTAATCGAAAATTGTATGTTTCCAATAGGTACCGTCCGGCGTACAAAGCCTTCCGAAGCGATTCAAGTTTCAATTTTATGGTGTTTTTCTTAATTTTCTTTTTCCAATTTCTAATGTTGATTTTACAATCGATTGGTATCACCGGAAGCGGTTACTGTGGCTTCTTAACGGCAATTAGACAATTCAATGGAACTTTGAGTGGAATTTTCACCGGAGTACTCGCATTGGCCGTGGCCACTTCGTTTGCTATTTGTGCCGCTGGTAGCTTTCTCCTTTTGACAAAGGTATTTTAAATTCGATTATTCAGCTTTGATTTCATTCAGTTTGCCATTCATTATTCATTAACAACAATTACGCGCTGCACTGTCTGTGACGTCATTCAAGCCATAAAAAATTGATAATAATGGTTTTTTTTTTGTTTGTAAATAGGTGCACGCGATCTATCGTTCATCGGATAAGGTCAGTATGGATAAGGCTCAGGCAGAATTTGCAAATGAATTTATGCGTAATCAAGGCGTTCGACGAGCGGCAGCAACAGCTGCACAAGCTGCAATGTCATCACAATTTAATAATCAAGCACAAAATGCAAATCGATACTAGAACTTATCGATAGATGATTTAATTGATCCACCATCTAAAAAGAAAAGAATTAATTAACATCAACAACAGATGCTAATCGAAGACATAAACAAATTCATGCAAATTAACACAGAGCGTATGGCAAAAAAAGAAACAGAGGATTGATAAAATACGCTGAAACGAAGAAATTTCATTTGTATAAAATAAACAACAACAATAACAAACAAAAAAAAACACAAAGAAGAATTAATGGTGGTTAGCATTAAGTGAAACAAAATGTGAAAACAAAATAAAATGGAAATCAAGTATATTTTTTATTTAGTTAAAAAAAAAATATGTCAAAAATTCAGATTAAATTCGCTGCTAAATCCGAAATAATAATCGTGCTTTAACGCTAACATATGTTGTCCAAGTGGGAAAATTACAAGTGAACTATGTAAAGTAAAAGAATATATACGAAATGTTTTCAAAAGTCAACTATCGAGATTCTATTTGCCAGATACAGAAAAAATGTCGAAAACAAACACAATACAATATAATTTCTACACACTCTCTAGTGATTAATCAAAATGCCAGTTCGAATGTCATAGAAATCGATAAATTCAAATCAATTTCAATCTTTTTATATGTACGAACGCCCTCCTGTCCGTATCGAGTCACTCATGACTCATACACATACACCGAAATTCAATTAAACTTCATTCGATTAAACACAAAATATTAAGCGGTTCCCTTCTGTTTCGCAAAATGCTTAAGGCAACAACAAAAAAAAAAAGAATTATTTTCGCAAATATCAGTAACACTGGTGATATGAATCCAATTTAGAACTTTTGTGTTACGGCACGTCGACCGTGTGTTGAAGTCAATTGAACTGATTTATTTTTTAATTATGATATCATTTTGTACTATTTATTTGCGTTGATTTGCATGAGAATGTCTTAATCTAGAAACCAAAATCTAAAAATAATTTTGATAGTTATAATAGTTTCAGTTTTCTTTGTAGATGTTATCACACTCAACTCTTATGTTTATTATTCTTCATGATAATTTGTATCACACACATTATAATGATATCACACTGCAACAAATTTCATGACATGATGTTCAAGCATAGGTTCTGACAATAGTAAATTTAGGAGGGGGTCACGTCCGAAAATCGACGGGGGTGCCCCGCTCTGAAAAACCCTAGCAAAATGTAATGTTTTTGAAATTATGAAAATCTCTAGTAAAATGGAATGATTTTATTCCTTGTGAAAATCGAGTATTTTCTCAAAATTCTGGGGGCCTCAATGCGACCTATGCGAACTATGTCAGAACCTATGTGTTCAAGTCACTCAACATTTTTGGCACTTTTTGACAGATTTCGATGGCGAAAGGAAAGGTAGTTCCTACCTACATTCTTGCGTTTGATCGTGAATTTAAATGTGTTGCAGTGTGTTAATTATATGTTAAAAAATGTGGCTTTATTGATTGATAATTTTGATTGAAATGAAAACAAAAACGTCCGTTTGAAAAGAAACTTAGCTTTTTTGTAAAAAAGTGTATTTTATTTTGAGAAATGAGTATATCAATTGCACATATTTCATGCAAAACGTTCATCATTTGCGGCTGATGTTTCACATTATGATTTACAATGTAATTAACAATGTGATTAAGCACGCGTACGAAAGATGAAGCAAAACAAATTTCTATTCCAATTTGAATGCGTCAAGCCAACATTTTTTAGTTAAAACAATTAAATACGATTTATGATAATCTATTATCGTTCCATTAGCCTAATCATTCATTAACACAACAACAATAAAAAAAAATTATTTAGAAATGGAAAGAGAAATGTACGAAAAATAAAAAAATAAAAAAATAAAAATTCTAAACTATGTTAACAAATGCATTTTTATATACACTATTTAAACTCTGTGTACGAATAATAGTACTTATCGCATGTAGAGTTATTTTTTTATTCAATTGCAATTTGTGCATTGCTTACTTTCATCAATAACAAGCACGTATTTCAACTAATTAAATAAATCATACACAATATAGTAAATCAGAACAAATATTATTTTACCATTCAAAATCGACTTCATGAAGTGGCGTGTATCTGTATATATTTATATACAGGGTGACGCATATAATAGGGCCACTCTTAGGGGGTGGAAATTTTGAAAAACCCTTTGGGGGGTATGTTGGGGAGTAAAAAATAGAAAAGAAGCCATAAGAAAACCATAGATTTATTGCCTAAAACGGTAAAAAAATAAAATTCACATATAGTTGGCGCTGCATTCTATGCAAACTTGTTTTCCGTTGCAACGGACTAAGTGGAAAGTATACGCTTATTACATAGAATGTAGCGCCAACTATACGTGAATTTTAATTTTTTTATCATTTTGGGCAGTAATCTTATCGCTTCTTTCCATCTGAGCAGAATTTTGAATTTTTCTCCAGGGGGTGGGTATGCCCCCAATATTGCAAAATTCATGGGATGAAAAAATAATGTACTACAAAGTTGTTCAGAATGACGAGAGAAATATTTTAGGTACCCTGCCCTCCAAGTCCCCCACCCCTTAAGTGGGTCGGGGGGTAAAAAACCCCCAATATGTGATTTTTTTACCTGAAACCCCGAAATTCGGAATCAGCATGCAAAAATAACCCCAAAGGGTTTTTCAAAATTGCCACCCCCTAAGAGTGGCCCAATTATATGCGCCACCCTGTATATATAAACAGAAATCTTCATTTTAATCAATTTCACAAATATATACGGCAAATGCAGTAGTTATTAGATAGTAATGAAATGAACACAGAGAAGGCAATACCACATGCATATTTGAAATGCATGTCTATATTATGTATGTGATTCGTGAATTGAATTATTCAAGAATCGATAGCTTTAAAATATACACACACATTTATCGATTTATAGAACGGATTACATCGGTATGCCGATGAAATAATACTTGTTGTAATTTTAAACAAAAACACTGTCTTCGTTAAAAAAAACTGGATATTTGATATTTGAAACCGTATATCATGATTATGGTATAACTTATTGCATTTGACTGATGAAGTTCAAATGAATTGCATGAAGCGTTCCTCTTCATGTTGCCATTGGAATCGATAAATTTTATGACAGCTCTTGCTTAGCAACCGATAACAAGAACCACAAAGAAAAAAAATCACATGAATTACCGTAGAATTTCGTTGAAACAAACATTTCTGAAAATTTGTGTGCAAACATTTCAAATCCTCATTTTTTATTATTTAATCATAAAAAATGTTCAAAAAAAGACCAATTGCTACACTGGTGGCAAATATAAATGGCAGTTCTATCTTTAGACGCTCCAAAAACCAAAATAAAAATTACATGTAAGTATTTGTTGTGCATTTAGATTTGTCTGTTCTTGTTTTACGTTAAATTATTGATAGAGTCGAGCCAGAATGGGACGTACAACCAGTCGATAACATTATAATGTCAAAAGTTTTGAGCGATCGTAAAAATGCTGAAGTTATAGAACAACAGGAGAGAATGCGTGAGGAAGTAAAAGATAAAGGACGACGAAACAAGAAACGCCTCAAAGAAATCAGAAAGATGCAGAAGGAACTACGACAAAAATTCATCGAAACAAATGATTTCATCAATGAATGTGAGCATAAAGAGGCTGAAGCTGACAAAAAAATCGCAGCTGAAGTGAAACTTCAAAACAAATTAAAAAATGATATCGATGATTATGAAGAACGCATAAGAAAATTGACGGAATATCATGAAGATGAACTTAAACCAGCCATAAAAGAGTTGAGCGTATACGAAAACGTACTGCAAGAAGTTGTCGATGATATGGATCTATTCGATAGCAAAGAAGATTTTCTTGATCGAGTCGAGGCACTATGTAAGTCTAACATATGATATGATTTTTCACCTGCTATTAACAGAGCATACCGCACAATAAATTCATCCGATATATTTCAAGCTCCAAAGAAACAAATTTCAATGGAGTACTGGAAGATTTCACGATTCCGTCAAAAAATTATGCCTTGATGTGGTAGTGCAAGTGAATTAAATCTATCTGGTGATGAATTCATCCGTGGGATAGGCACTGTTGTCTAAAGATTTTTTTAAATGTCTCACATTATCACTTTCTGTAGTGCTCGCTCAAGATGAGGTATCTGAAAATGATTCAGTATGTTTGGAGAAAATCGAAAAGATGCAAGGTGATATTGTAAAAACATCGAATGAAGCGACCTTAATGATTGCCGGTTTGGAAAATCGATTAATTGAACTTGAGGTAAATTCTACTAGAGGATAGAGGAAAATATAATGTTATACATTTTACGTTTGATTCACAATGTAGAAAAATTATGAAAATGTAAAAAGCGAATGCTTGAAATTCGAAAATGTATTACATCCAGCAAAAGAAATCATCACGGAAAAAGAAAAGGAAATGTTTATGTTGCTGGATCAAATTCAACAAATGTATCTATTGCTCTGTGCCCGAAATTGCGAAGAGCCCAAATTTAAGCGTGAACAAATCGATGAGCAATTGGCGGGGTATACTTACTTTAAAAATTACTATTCCATTATTGAAGAATGCTATCCATTCTTTCGATTATTTTTCCATTACGTTCCATTACATATTGATTAATTTCCATTATTTCGATTCTTTTCTTTGTGATTAACCCTAGGCAATTGGACTATATCAAAAGAGAGATTGAAATGATTTTGGAAACAATTGACTTAGCCCGAGAAATGGAAGCGCTTGAAATGAGATCTGACATTGCGTCATATGGATCGGGAAAAAGCGGAAAACCACGGAAATAAAATAAAAAATATTTTCTGTTTTCATTAAACACATTAAATGAACGCATATTATTCTTTAACATCAACACATGTTAATTTTTACAATAAAGTATACAAATAAAAATTATTCCCTTTTCAGTAATGAATTTCATTATTCAACGTATACTTTCTCTCTTTGAATAACAACAAGAAGTTTGTGCGTGGAAAAACAAAGTCATTTTGAAATTGACTATTCGCGAATGAACAAAATTTATTGGTTGTAGATAAAGTCGTCATTTTAGTAAGATAATTTAAGCAATTCGCAAACAATTCGCAAAAAGTTATCACAATTTGATACATACAAAACATACAAGTTTTGCGAATTGTCTCCATTTTATAGCGAATTGTTTTTTAAATCGCAACTTTACTGGCCCATCGCTTACAAGTCATTTCGCATAAAATTTGCAAAATATCGAATAATTCGCTATGTAGCGCTGATCGAGATCCGATCCCTTAGATGTAAAGAATCGAAAATTGAAGCAGTTGGATTAGTTTTTATTTTTCCAGAACTACATTTTATAATGCGATTGGTTTTGTACAGGGGCCGGAAAAACTATGTAATTTACATATAAACGAGTGAACCTGAAATATATGCTTCTTCCCAAACAATAGATACACACTAACAGTGAGACGGGACTAGGTTTCGACTTTCATATGTGCGGACTTTCGACTATACATCCAAATAAGTGGTGAATATACTACGGCCAGATTTCGGATATTTGATTTTCGATGTTGGCATTATTAATTTTATGATGCTATTAGCTTTTCTCATTAAAGCATAAAATGGAAATTTTGAAAGGCCAGCAATAAAATCTCCTTTTTCTTTTATTATTAATCAAGTAATAGTATTCAAATCAGACTAAATCTTCAATATATATTCGATAATAGCTGAACTAACTGTAACTAACCCATTTTTCTAATTAGAAATAGCCGGTATTTTCATTTTTCTAACTTTTTATTCATAAAAGGTTCTTTGAAATGGGCCAATACTACACAAAGAGCAAATATTCACTTTCATCAGTATCCATGTTCGATTCCCCTTTTATTCAAACTAATCCTCCAAGTAGATAATTTCGCTTGAAAAAGCCCTTACAATTAAAACTATAGCAAAATCATTTATTAAATTTGAATATGAAATTTGCGGTATATTTTCAAAAAAATTCAAACAAAAACGAAATAACGTCTTTCGGATGTTTTTATTAAGTATTTCTCGTTTGCGTATAATCAATGATGTGGCAACAGTTCAAAATTTAATACAAACATTTATAGAATAGATTTTGAAAACATGAAAGATTTTAACTTGGTGAAAAACCATATTCGTATAAAAAAATATTTCTCAAAAATATGATATAATTAAACATTTGTCTCTCTCAAAGATTTTTAGACCTGAATTTTCAAGACATCATCAACGGCTTTAACGATATGGCGAGCTGAAAGTCCGAATGCATCGATGAGGACATTTGGTGGTCCTGAGCGTGGTACATTTGGTACGGCCAAATGTTTGACAATGACACGTGGCTCTTCAGCAACGGCATGCATAACAGCCTCACCCAAACCGCCTTCTTTGTAGTGATCTTCCACAACGACGATGCGTCCACCAACAGCTTTAGCATTTGCAACAACAGTGGCTTGGTCCAATGGTTTGATTGTGAATGGATCAATAACACGAGCATGAACGCCAACCTTTTCCAATTCAGCGGCAGCAGCAAGGGCTTCGTACAAAGTAATACCGGCTCCGAGCAACAAAACTGTGTCCTTGTCTGATTGACGAACAACATGGGCCTTGCCAACTTCGAATTTCTGGGTGTTTGAATAGATAACAGCTGTGTTTGGACGTGAAGTACGAATGAAACAGACACCTTGTGTGTTGGCGGCCAATTCAACGGCACGCTCACAGCTCACAGCGTCTGATGGATAGAAAACAGTACTGCCTGGGATTGAACGGAACATAGCCAAATCTTCCAAAGCCATCTGACTTGGACCATCTAAAATAGTAAAAATGTGTAACCGGTTATAAGAATTTATTTTTTATTTAATACGAAAAAAGTAGTATATTACCTTCACCAATGCTGACACCACAATGTGAACCGACAAAGTTAACGTTGGTTTGTGAGATGGCACCCATACGGATTTGATCGAATGCCCGAGTGAAGAATGTGGCAAAGGTTGAAACGAATGCAACGGTACGGCTACGGCAAGCAGCACCAATTGCAACACCGCACAAATTCTGTTCAGCAATGAAGCATTCGATGTAACGGTCTGGGAATGCCTTCTTCAATTTGTCGGAGTAAGTTGAGTTCTTGGTGTCTCCATCGAGAGCAATGACACGACCATTGTTGGCAGCAATTTTAGCTAGAGCTGTTCCATAAGCAAAACGAGTGGCAACTTGTTCGCCCAATTTATATTCTGGCGGTGTGGCCAAACGAATGTTTGCAATGTGCACTTTAACTGCATCTTCAACTGGTTTTGGTGGTGCAATTTGGAGTTGACCTTTGTTGTGGATTAAACCGTTCAAGTTTTTGACGACAGCATCAGCTTTGTCACCCAATGGTTTGCCGTGCCAGTTGTCAGCGTCTTCGATTTCGGGGAAGAATTTTCCTTTGAATGTTTTGGCAATGATAGCTGTTGGTTTGTCTTTAGTAACGCTTGCTTCATGGAAGGCTTTGCATAACTCTTCAACATCATGCCCATCGACAACGATAGCATTAAAACCGAATGCATCCAAACGTTTGCGGTAAACTTCAAGATTGTGTTGCAATGAGGTTGCTTCTGATTGACCCAAACGGTTTACATCAAAAATAACGCACAAATTGTCCAAGTTATAGTGACTGGCGAAATGTAAAGATTCCCAGATTGAACCTTCAGCCGATTCACCATCACCAACAATAGCGTAAGTACTGTAAAGATACACAATTAAAATTCCATCAATTTTTTTTTTTCGATCAAGAACAAAAGAATAAAAAAATCAATTGTTCCGACCAAAGTTTTGAAAGTTTACTCACCGATAAGAGGCTTTGTCCATATATTTACCAATGTATGCCATACCAGCAGCAACCGCAACTCCTTGGCCTAATTACAGAATTTCGGAAATGTTTTATTATTAGTATTGAATAAAAAAGAAATCATAAAGCATTTACGTACCTAATGATCCGGTACCGACATCAATGAAGTTGAGTCGTGGAGTTGGATGACCCTCCAAATCCGAATCGAATTTACGCAAATTGTTCAAGTCTTCAATTGGGAACAAACCAGCCTCTGCCCAAGCGGCATACAAAATGGGGCAAGCATGTCCTTTCGACAAAATCAAACGGTCCGATGATGGATCACGTGGCTCTGACAGCTTGTAACGCATTGTGTTGAAAAACAACACCGACATTATTTCAGCGATTGAAGCACATGATGTTGGATGTCTGCAGAACAAAACAATATTATTCTTTTAACATTTGCCAACTATTCCATTTGAAAGTCTGTATGATTAATAAAATTTGATTAAGGACAAAACGACATTACATCAATAATGTTCAAGTTATCGTGTGATTAAGACACGTTTTAGCAATTCAATTATTCACAAATTATAAAAAAATACTCATACGTAAATACTCAAATATTGTATTTGTATGATGACTTGTTAGTTATTTTCATTGTTGTTATAATTGTGCGTTCTCGTATGTTCTCCTAGGTTTTATATTGCCTTCAGTAAGGCCATTGCTATCACGCATTCATGTCTACCTTTCTAAAATATTTTGCTATAAACATTATATTATCGTAATAAAAAAATACACATCAACAGCAGAAAAAAAACTGTATTGGGTCAATTCAAAGGCAATTTGAAGGAGTTCAATTTCAAAAAAAAAAAAAATGTGTGATTAAAACTTGGCGATTTTGGCATTAAATAAATCTTATCTGAAGGTAATAGGTGAAATTGATAAGAAGCGCTTACATAAGTGATCGCTAAAATCACGGTACTATCGACGCACGATTTGTTAAGTATATACCACAAATTAATTTCGCACGACACTTCTAACTTCCCTAAAATAAGTTTGATTTAAAATGAACTCCAATAATGAACCAATAGAATACAAAACCGGCTGAATATGACGTGTACGTATATCACTAACAAAGCATGCGGTTCTTCACAACTCTTATCGCAACTAACATGCATTATACTTGTGCAAGTTTTTAAGGTTGTAATTAGACATCATTTTGTGTATATGTGTGTTAACCATTCAAAAAAAGTCGTATTTTTTTGATTATACTTATTATATAATTGCACACGCATGCCAATTGTATGTATATTGTAACATCACTATGACACTCTTGTAAGAACAACAAGTATTCCATTAAATGTCTTTTTTGCAGGAAATTGTTGATGACTGATTGATATACTTGCAATAAAAGTGTTAGCGTCACACATCTTCAACTGAACAAAATGATGTGCAAAGAAATCTATAAAATATTTTTCGACTTAAGCGATATATATGTGTTAGGAGGAATCAGACTATTTCTACATATAATCGCGGTTCAACGCGACAAAGAAGACGAACAAGACTAAGAAGAAGGGAAAAAAGGTTCTTTGTACGAATGCAGCGTTATTTATTACAAATTCATCGAAGGTCAAAAAGGACACGAAGCCTATGATACACTTTTTTCTAATGCTCACAATACAAACTAATCAAATGCCTTTCGTTGACATTGACACCGATAATTAAAACATAGAAATCAAAATATGCCGATAGAATGATATATTTAAAATGAAGACCGCTTGGTTATTTTCCATTACAACTAATCATTTTTTGAAAAAAAAGAAGAAGAAAGCGATACCAATTCAATGAATGCTTACCCAGATTTTGATGCTTGAGTCGATGTAATTGAGTGAATACGCAAACGTTGAGCAATGTCACGCAATTCTTGAACAGTTTTCGTATCTACTTTATGATAGTTCACCATTTTTGATGTCTTTCTTTAACGTCTTCTACTTTAAAATATAAAAAGTGATCAAAAGTTGTGCCAAAATATTCGAAGAAAATTTCACTCCAAACTCTACGATGTATTAAAGCTGACTGAATGAATATCAAGTATCATGCGTTCATGGTACGATGTATAAGGGTTTCTCTTTCATCCAGTTGACACAACACGCGATAACACACGCAATGCGGAAAAGAGACAACTATCCAGTATCGTTCCAGTAATACGCACACTGTTATATTGTATATTTCAATTTCATTTCTGACCACACGGCCGGAGCTTCATTCGTTATTTGCTTTGCTCTCTCTCTCTCTCTCTCTCTCTCTCTCTCTCGCGCGCGCCTCGTATTCGTGTGTATATTAGCGGCTTTGAACAAGTGATCCAACGAACGAAACACTTTTTGCAACACATTGTCACGAAAGTCATTGTCACTGGAATGGTTGGAACGAATATTGTTTTAAGATAAATCTGTTGATTTGATGCTAAATTGAATATTTCAATTTTTTAAATTTAAAAATTATTCCATTAAGAATTAAAATGGAACATTATATAAAATATCACACGCAACGATTAAATTGAATGCAACCGAGTTGAATAATCCCTATTGAAAAAAATATATGTAAGATGTCAACTCCACTTGGAGCAAATGTCACGAATTCAAATGTATGATGGAGAAAACAAAACAGTCAAACGGTAGAGACAACGGCATTCGTACACTTTACTTGACTTGTGAAATTCTGTTCGACAATCTTACACTGACGACTGAATAAACAAAAAATCATAATAAACTTTTGAAAACAATTTGAATCGCATCATTTCAATTTCTATTCAACTTTATTCGTTCAATAGAATAGTTCAATGCTCGGTTAAATTGACCGCAACAGTTGCTCCAATAATTTCTTTTAAAAAAGTGAAATCAAACAATTGTTTTACATTTTGAAGCAGGTGAGCGTCAATTTTTTTGATTTTCGTTTTGGATGTTTTTTTTTTTCAATATTTGTAGACATTCATTTAATTCATCTTATTCTGCGTAAAAAATGTGCTTACGTTTTCGGAAATACTTATTCGCCATCATCAGGCGAAACTTAAAATTGATTTAATTTCACAATGGTTGCTTGTTGTGAAGGGTAATATTCTCCTGACGATTGAAAACGTTAGCATTTTTTTGTACAATCGTTGAATGGCCTGTGTAACTTTACATCATTAATTTTTGGACGCTATATTGGAATTTTCGCGTAATTTTTAGTAATTTTATACGTTTTTCTCATTGAAGTTTTCTTGAAAATTGAAAAATGCCGCGAAAATACGGAAAGAAACATCACAACAATGCAAGTCACAAGCGAAATAATCAACGACATCCAGTGGATTTGAACACACCTGTTTTAACTCTTTATTTTTTTCCACTTGATCATCCAGTAAGTTGAAGACTCATCGTCGCTTTTTTACGACGCAATTTTATTTAGAAAATCTCATTTATTTCATTGTATAGATGACACATTATTCGATTTATAAATACTTTCGTCAATTTGGTGATGTCGACTTGGTTAAGCTACACGATGTACAAGACCTCTTTTCCAAAGCTCCGAAATATGGTTTTGTGCAGTTCAAGGATACAGCAGCAGCATTGCTAGCTTTGTCACAACCTGAACATGAAATCGATGGCTTGAAAATTAAAGTTAATGCAGCGCACCGTAAGCATCAGCCACAACAATTGACTTTGAATGCACAACCACTCTCCACTGGATATGAAGCACCTGGCTCAGATTCGCTATCGAATATACTGAATGGTAAAAACGATTTTAAACTACTTTCAATTTAGTTATATTCACTGCTAACTTTGAATGAAATAATCTTTTACAGCCTTAAACGACGTTTGTCTTCGCAAAATTTTCTGGTATTTGACAGCAAAGGATCTGTGTGCCACTGCAAATGTTTGTGTGCGATTCAACGCAAACGCCAAGCAAGTGTTCGCAGTCGAATACGACGTGCTTGATTTCGAAGACGTGGTTGTTGAAGAAAATCTCACTTTTTGCGAACTGGAATCGCTGTTATGCACATTCAACAAAGAAATAAAGAGCGTGAATGTGGTAAGTATCAATGTGGTGAGATATGAAATATATTTTATATATAATGGTATAATATTTTAATCTAATTTTCTACAACAGGAAGGTCAATACAAGGAAACAATTGTTTTTCTATCTATGTTGAGCGAGCATTGCAAGAATGTCAAGGAAATCGAGTTGACAGCCTTGAATCTTGATAAGCAAGAATTTGAAATACTTCGTCCATTGTTGAAGCATTTGGAATCGCTCAGAATGTTTGATAACATGTGCTGGCCACCATCGCCGACAAACTTCATTAACGAAGCATCAAACTTGAAGATTTTTGAGTACGAAGGTTTGCCCAATCATTTTCGATTCCCGGAAAAAACGTTGCACAAATTGCATGAATTGAAATTGAATGGCATCGGAAATGCGACAGTGTCATCGTTGAATCGATTTTTCGAGTTGAATCCGAGCTTGGAAAAGGTTCACATTTTATCTGGTGATCCCATCGATACAAGTCGTATATTGCGCACAATTAGTGACGCGCTGACAAATCTGAAGGAATTGGTATTTTCAACTTACAAGTCCAAACAGTTCACCATTGAGAAAGACCTCTTGTTGCTCGCGAAATTGCCATCGTTGACAAAACTGGATTTGAGTTTTCACCAACTGTCGATTGCACCATTGATGAAAGCACTCCAGAAGACACCAATTCAGAGCTTGAAAATTGTCGAAGGATTGATTGACGACGCCGGTGTCGAGAATCTATCAAAATTGGTTGGCATCACCAGCATGGAATTCATACGCTGTCGTGATCTACAAAATGGACATTTGATCAAGATGGCAAAGAATCTTCCAAATTTGAGCACACTCAGCATTATGGACGCCAAACAAATAACAACATCTGCGATCAAGGAAATGGTGAAACATTCAACGAAAATGTCGTTCATATTCTTGCAACGCGTTCGCAAGGTGATCATTGGTTCAAACGATTACAAGGAGATTTTGAAAATGGTTAAAAATCAAACGAAGCTCACAATCGAAATCTATGGAAGTGGTGGTCAAGTTAAAGTTTCTGGTAAAGAAAATTAAAATTAAATCGGGAATGTGTCATTTATGAGATTTTTTTAAAATTTAGATGCGGTTCTCAGCGACTGGTTGATCATCGAGGAAAATTAAATTGTTTTGAACAGAGCAACTCAGCGTCAATCAAAGACGATTTGTAGTATTCAAACATTTTATTTTGTACCGACACCTGACATTTGAAACAAAAGCATGACAGCATGACAATTCAGCTTGAATTAAAAATAATGTCCTTCGTTTAATTAGTTTTTCGTTCATTTTTATTAGAATTTTTACAACTTTTACCTTATTCATAACATTTAAAAAACGTTTAGTTATTCAACATTATACTTATTACTTATCCGCATAATAAATAAAATATGAAATTTTAATTCTTTTTTTGTTAAAGGAACATACCGATTGATTTGTTCTCATTTAACAGAATTGTGTTTTTTTACCACGTCAGTTTTGGATGAACAAACATTTCAACGGAAGATTAGTTATTACCTTATTCGTACTAGAGGAATTTTAAATTGGTTACATATTTATATATAAAGTTATTACCAGGAAGAAATCCTTGTACATTTTGGATCCACTTTAACTGTTCCGAGAATCTTGCTCTTATTTCTGTGCTTATCCATATACTCTATGTTTAAAAAATGCATCGCATACTATGTTTGTGTAGTGCTGTGTTCTTACTTTTTTCAATGCTCTTACTTTTTTCAAGCGCGGTTGTATGTTACGGAATACATATTTGTATTCGTTAAATTTGTTAAAATGAATAAGGGATTTTATCATATTCACCCAATACTTGTTTGCAATTCAGTTAAATTCAATTTAATCATATGAAAGGAAGAAAAGACAAGATTACGCAATATATCAGATTATGAAATTTTATCATTTTCGTAAATTTTTGATAAGAGAATTCACAATAGGGTAATAGATTGAACTAACAATTCCCCATTAACCTATACATGTAAATTAAGAAGAAGTGATATTCCGAAATTCGCACTAATGTTGTCAAAAAATAATTGTTGATTATTCTTGTTGACGTTTCACGTAAAAACACGGATACCCACATTTGGCATATTGGACGCAACTTGTTTTTCTTTGCATTCTTGTTGTTATTCATTGATGCTGAGTCAGTTGTTTTGTCGCTGTTCGAGTGAATGGATGCGATTCAAGTAGTTTAAAAGTGAAATCTGTGATATTTGTGACTTTATAGAAAGTGTACAACGGTTTAAAATGATACACTTTGATTCGTACAGCATTTATTTGGTTCTTTTTTATTTTGTATCACAACAATTTTGTGTACATGGAGCACTAATTCCAAGTAATTCGATATATAAACTTTCAACAATAACTTTCAATTGTAAAACCTATTTTTGTTTAAGAAATGCAATCGGCGAATGGTATTACTTGTTTTCGAAAGATTTTAATAAACTTTCAACGAACTTCTAATTAAAACATTGACCTTTTCTGCAGATTTAATTGAGTAATCAAACTTTCAGTTATGTAAATTATCACACTGGAATTGCGATTGCACGATGATTACTTACGATAATTGAATGTCAATGTTATTCAAAGTCTGTAAATATCAATGAAATGTTTTTAAACCACAAGAACCGGTTCAATATTTTCATATCCATAAATGTGCATGAGCAAGTTGTGCTACAATCCGACAATACCACATTTACTCTCCGTATTGATAATAACATTAAGTCGTCAATCTTAGCGCAATTTAATCTCAAATATTTTTAAATTTCAATTTTTTAGATCCATCAAGTCAATCACCAAACTGTGGTGTGCAATTATTTGAAGATCGGGTAGTGTGAATTCATGAAGATTTCGATGAAATTTCAACTGAAACTTTTTTTTTATATTTTGAGTATAGATTGTAGGTGGAAATGTCACGTCTTTGTATGACTACCCCTGGAGCGCTATCATACGATACCATAACGCGAGGAAGCGATTCGATTCGTGGGTAAATAATAATAGATTTACTAATGGAAAACAAACAATGTTCGTCAATTTAAATCACAAATTTTCAATTTCCCATTTGAAATTTCAGGGTTGTAGTGGCTCGTACATTGGTAAAACAACAGACAAGATTGAGAAAAATTTGAAATGAACGAATTTTTATCGTCTTCAAATAGGTGGACGAACAGTAGTGACTGCAGCTCATTGTGTGGACAGCGCAAGCAAACGTGACTTGGGTGAAATGTAAGCTATTTTATTATTATTAATATAAATTCACTTACAGAAGAGTGTATTTTTAGAGTATTTTTAAGGTTAGGTGAATATGATACAGAGAACAATCCCGATTGCATTGGTTATGGAGATGATAAAGCTTGTAACGAGACACCATTTGATTCTCCTGTAACAAGCAAGTTTCATTTATTTTTTTCTACTGTTGAATGTGAATTCAATATACTTAAATGTGTACGTTCATTAGGAATTGTGATCCATCCAAAACGAAGCGATTCATCCAAAGAATACGACATTGCTATTATCATATTAGAAATAAAACCTCCATATACGGGTAAATCTATTACAGAACATCCAACTTGAGATAATTATAACATTTTTTTCTCGTCCAATAGATTTTATTCGTCCAATTTGTTTACCAGATTTAGCAGAAAAAGACCTAATCGATACCAATGAAATATTATATGTAACAGGATGGGGTTGGACAATTGGATGTAATTTTAACTTTATTTTTCTTATTTTAATACGTTCATTTATGAATGGATACAAAAAATTCGTTCTATACTCATTAGACGTCCGTAGTCCGAGCAATATAAAACGACACGTGCGAATTGAAGCTGTTCAGTATGACATCTGTCGACAACAGTATGAGAAAATTTTATTGAATCCTGTAAGTACTTACATTTTACAAACATTTAAGTTTTTGGCTAAATAATGGCTGTTTTAATCAGAACTCCCAGCTGTGCGCTGGAGGCCAGAGTGGAATGAATCCTTGTCGGGGTGACAGCGGTGGTCCACTAATGAGGCTTGTAAGAGGCATTTATTGGCAACTGATTGGCTTGGTGTCATTTGGACCGGGAGTATGTGCAATCGAGGGGGTGTCTGGCAAAGCGGCTGTTTTTACAAAAATCAATTATTTTATTCCGTTTATTGTTGAAAATTCCCTGTAGAAACATCCTATTTCTATAATCCAATAAAAATAATAATTTCGATTTTATTTATTCTGTCAAAAGAAATAAAATACGATCATTTCAATTTTTTTCCATTTTGATTTTATTTTGTTTTTAAAATTATAAAGAACTTTAACTTACATTCAAAGGTTTATAAATAAATTTAAGAAATTCAATAATCATCTCCATTTTTTATAAATTTATCTACATGCTCTTTTTTTGTCCGGTTGATAAATGTCAAAAATGGTGCAATCAATAATAATAATAATAACAATATGAATATTTGTTGTTTATTGGGTTTTTTTCTGCAGGAGAAACCATTCAATTATCGGCATCGCTACTATGTTTCCATTTTGTAATGGATTTCTCATTATTACTGGGAAGATTTGGGCTATTCATAGTTTTAATTGTGTAAAATTGTAAAACTGGTTGATTTTTATGTGTGGCAAAATACAGATTTTAACTCTGGCAAATTCCGTGCTATGGAATATTTAAAATGGATTCAACACGTTTGTAAAAATCGAGAAAAAAAATATTTCTATTGTCAATGTGTGAAAAATATGATAAACATTTGCATTAAATAAATTTCATTTCCTGAGCTTTGGTTATCTCTCGGTCGGTGATATGGTTCGGACAATATATAGTGTGTGTTTTTTTTACTTGGAAGAGTTGGACAATTCACATTCAGCAGGTTTATTGGCATTTCAGGCAATTTGTTTTTTTTTCTGGATTAATTATACGTGAAATGATCAACTTATCATAGAAGAACAATGTCTTTGAACTACGATTAGGCCATTTTAATTGTATTAAGCGGATAAATTTTTAACAGTGAATACTACACAATATTTTCGCATTTTCTTCGTTTGAAAATTGTTCAAAGAAATACGTTTTTTTTGTGGTGGTTTTGATGGCAGTTTTTCTCCAGCACAAATTGCCTTTGACATTAATTTTATTCTCTTTAAAACATTTTTTGTTGTTGCAGAAATACTAAATGATGGGCGAACGGGCGATATGTGTTAACTTTTATTGGCATATTTGTTTGTTTGACATTTAATTATTTAGCGAAAATTGCCCTGGTCATATACACACACATACTTAACAATGCAATAAAATTTGGAAATAGTTTTGTTTAAATATTATTTTCTATAGAATACATATATATAAAATCCAAAAATTCATAAATGACAATTCTCATGCAATTGGTTTGACTGGTCGCAACTTATTATCACGTTCACTTTATAAATGGAACTGATTACAATGAAATAATCGGAGACAAAGATATTCAGATAATTGTAATTATAGATTGATGTGATACACGATTGTTGGATACACGATTCAAAAGCCTTGCCATGGCAAAAATGGGAAAAACAAAATCGACAGACAAAGCGAATTGGATATTGTTCTTTATTTTCATTATTATTATTTATTTTATATATAAACGACAGGAGGATAAATCATTCGAAATAGAAATGTTTATCAGAAATTCTTGTGATATAGTTTAACTTAAAGATTAGGATTCAATCCATTGTTATCAATGCTTGCGTGTTGAAAAACTCAAAGGTCGCTTTATTTATATACAGCTATGGTCTATGGTAGTATATACATATACATAAGAGTTGAGCAAATAGAGTTGACTTTTATTAATATTCAACGCGCTATAAATATAAATATGATAGATAATAATAACAGTAATATGACCTTCTGGCGATACAATTCACTCCATCCATTTCGTTATTTCATGTTCAAGTGAACGAATTGAACTTGACACTTTGAATTTGTTTTCGAAGATTAATGAAAATGAATGCCGTCATTCAAGACATTTTAAATTCGGTAATTGGTTTTCGTTCGAAATCAGTTCTTTTGCCTTTTGCACGATGAAATTGGTTCACGAAAATGTTTGCCGTTGTTGATAGCTTTTGATGTAACACATCGTTGACAAGCCATCATGCAAGTCCATCGGTCCATTAATATTTTATTAATATAATCATCATGAGTGGGGGAGAGAGAATAATAGTAATACACCGAGTGGTTTTTGAGCATGCTCTTGCACTCGTTCACCCTCACTCGAAATAAGTAATACTTGATTTGAAATATGTACGAAATCAATTCGTAGAGTGACATAAATGATAATCGTATTATCTGATTTGTGACAAAAGTCACAGCATTTATTCTTTCGAATGAAGAATTTCTTTTTATTAAAGTTTTATTTTGATTGATTTGTTGATTCAAAATCGAAATTCACAAGAAAAGTGATCGAATTAATAATTAATCATGATTGATACAAATGAATGCAGAAAAAATACTATCCAAATTTGATATAGACCAGCTATAAAAATATATGGGCGATATAAATCAATATCAATCACTGGCTGCATTATATAACTTGTTCGGCTACGCAAAATGTCCGCTATTTTCAAACTTGCCACAAAAGTAGATGATTTGTACTATCTTCACGGCCAGCAATATCGCTCAGTGGATTCGATCCGGAATTTCGGAATTCTTCAAATCCATCGCCACCTGATATAATCAATAAACCACTGTGCTCCGATGACTTTGATGTCGATGCTTGTGATTTATTTGTTGAATTCTTTTTCTTATTAGATGTGCTATCGACTGTATCGCTTGAACTGTTGTTATTTGGAAGCTTTCCCAAATGATCGACGCATGTGATGAATCGCACATGTCCAGTGTGTCCGTATGGAATTCCTGAAATAGTAATTACAATATGATGGTCGAATATTAAATGATATGGTTGTCATTTGGTTTCTCTCTGTTTTTTTTTTTTTGCAAATTTGAAATGTTTGTGGTTTTTCACTTCAAAAACTCAAATTATGGATCCACAATCGATATTCAAAATACTGCAATGTGTCCATATCCATAATTTGAGTCATTTGGTTTCGAATATTTACCAGTGACAATCGGCTGATCGAGGCCGCTATTGTAAGTGGCATTGCCGGTTGTTTTGCACGTTAAAATCACACCGGCACTCGTACCAATCCAAATTAAATCTTTGCACGCAAGAAGCGATGTTACACGAAGACATGCTGCCTTATGCTGGCGAATGATATCATCACAATTGGAAAGCATTTTGTTAACTGAAGGCGCCAAATTCACTTCGAACAGAAGTGCAAGGCTAAAAGGAAATCGAAATACATTTATGAATTTTGGTATTATTAATTTATATTCGAAATAAATGCATACCTTTTGGAATGAAAACATTTGATTTGAGCGGAATTTTGCACCGATATCCATACTTGATTATTGTACACGGCCATATTTGTTATTGGTTTTATGTCAGATGAGATTTGCAGTTGATTTTCAATTTGCTGTGTTGAGCTGTTCATCACTTTAATTGTACCTTGTACGGAACACCATAATTTACCGTTGACATTTAACAATTTAGAAATTGGACTCGTCGCCGAACCCAATAGAATTGTTTGTGGAGATGTTGTATTCCATGTACCATCTGCCAAAAGAAAAATTCATTTAATTAAAAATCTAACATAAAATTCATGTCAAATCTGATAAATTACTTTGGTCTCTTGAATAAATGACTAGTTCACCATTTGCCAACGACACAAACACTCTGTTATCAAGATATCTATAGAAGAAAATAATTTTTTTAAATATCAAACTAAACAATTTCTTTTAATTTGTTTCGGCAACACTTACAATATTGAATATATTGCGCTGACAAGTTGTATTTTAATTTTATTCTTTTTGGTGCGAATGTTATCGGTACAATTGTATACATGAATGCATCCATCTTCAGTGCCTAACCACATTGTCGGTTGATGTTGTTGATTATCATTTGAACAATCGTCAACCGTTTGACTGTGGTCATTGCTTGAGTTTGGTGCCGACGTTGACAATTGTGGTGTTGAACTTGCTTTGGTTGAATTCAATCGACGTAATGGTTGATTTGGTTCTGTGTCGTCATCAGAATCATCATCCGAACTACTTGAATCAAGTTGAATATCACGTTCATTTCCACTGCTACTGTTCGTACCGCCGCTTGAATCATTCGAAGCAATTGATTTTGTGCTAACATTACTCGTTTTCTTTTCCAAATTTGAGCTACCGTGCGATTTTCGACTAGGTGACGATGATGCATTGCTACTCAACGATGCAATACTGTCGTTTAATTTTCGATTACATGCGGGCACCGATGCCAAACACAATATGCGCGCATTACAAACGCCATTACAACTTGTAACTGTTGGTTCAGGTGATAAGCTCAGCACACACACTTGACCCACGTATCCATCACTATTGCACACCCACACATCTTTTTGTGCGCCAAGCGTTGCCGCTGCGCACGTGAATGTAAGACCAGCACGCGTCTTTCGTATAGATACTTTATCTGAAATAGAATTCACAATATTGGTTTATCGAAATGCCCTTGGAATTTACACGTGCGTAAATTGAACGCGTATATTTTTCGTGTTCATGTTTATTACCAATAAATTCGGGAATCGGATGATGATCGAGGGCAGCTGTTATTTTCATTTTAACTTCGTTAAACATTTTTTCCCATTGCGTACGCTTTTCTGACTTCGGAAATACAACAGTTATGTGTTGCAATTGACCACCACTATTTACGGAGAACAAAAAAAAAATTCCGATTGAAAATGTCTTTAGTTTCACATTTAATTCGACTTACGATTGAGTCAGTCCCAATTCCAATAAACACAGTTGTGAGTCGTTTGATTGTCGTTCACTTAATTGTCGCTGCAATTCTTTCTGTAATTCTCGTACATTTTCTTCGATCGTTTGATGCTGACATCTAAATTCAAAAATGAAAATTCCAAACATTAATTTTAGGTTCGAGGGGAAATTTGATGATTTTAAAAAAAAGTGCTAACCGAAGACTCAATGTGATATCGAGCACCTGCTGCAATTTTGTGCAATCTTCTGTTAAATGTTCGATTTCTTTCATGATTTTTCGCACATTTTCATCTTTAGCTGCATGAAAAAAAATCAATTTTAAACATAAATTGTTATTTTTTTGATATAAAAATTGCGGTGTACGATAATTTCTTGAAACAAAATATATCTTACCCTTGATTATATCTAAATCCTCTATGCAAATTTTCATAAGCAGCTTATATTTATTTGTATCGAGAGTTGAAGCAACGCTCATGGGGCAGGTTCTAAAACAATGTTCATTTAATATTTATATAAAATGCAGCTTCAAAATAAAGTCAGTTTCTTTGCTTGCTTGCTTAAACACTTACGTGCTGGGTTTTTTAATCGTTCCACTGCGTCGTTTGATGCTAGTAATAATGAGCAAATCATTAAATAAAAAGAAACCACGTTCCTTGCGACCACCTTGAACGCCATGTGGCATTGAAACTAAATCAAACGATAAAAATTGTCGATCGCTTGACACCAAATCCGAAATGCCTTCGATGACACCCTGAGAGAAAATAAAAAAAAACGGCAAATGCAAATGACGATTTGATTCAATGTCAATAACGCATTTTCTTACTTCAAGTTCACGAAGAGCAGCCTCGCGTTGGTCATTTTCCAATGCTTCACGTTCTTTGCAATTCAAATGCAATAAAATGTCATGTACTAACTTCAAAGCTTCTTCCAATGTCTGTTGGTCGGGATGCTCTTTGTCTGTGTGCTTTATCAGTCTTTGAAACATCAATTCATAGCTGAACGAAATAGAAAAAGAAGTTTCATTTCTTTTTCACTCCACATTTATGTGGTTCTGTAGAATAAATTGAATTTTTTTACTCACTTTGGAAACTTTTGTACTGGTTTGATTAACAAATTGTCCAATGTTAATTTGCCTTTGTGTTCGCGTGCCATATTTTCGAGAAATCGTGCAAATGCTGGCCGATGATTGGATGCCGTTCGAATGGCAGATTTCGCACGATTTACATTATTTACAAATAACGTATATGTCTCCAGTACAGTTGACGTTGAGAACTAGAATGTAAATGAAATGCCATTAATTTCGGAATGGAATGCATATACAAACACTTGAGTTCACATACTACATGAACGAAAGCATCTCCAACACGTTGCAATGGTTCCCAGCTTTCCAACCTCCTTCGTAATGCGTCAAGAAATTGTTGATGAATGCCAAGAATGGTTGGAACCATGAGAAAAATCTCATCGACTGTTTGTGCTTCGATAAGCGATGCATTCTCCTGTGACTTCAGCGGATTTAGGTATTTCTATAGCAAAATGTAAAAAAAAGAAACCAACAACAAAATCGTTTCAATTTATTTTGTTTACAATGCATTAATGCGTTTATCGAGAGGAGTTTTAAAATTGCATTACCTTCACTACCGTTTCCAATGATTCCACGTATGATTTTTCTGTGTTGAATAGTTCGACAACGATGTGCGTTCGTGTATCCTGCCATGATAAAACAAAAAAAAATGAGCAAAAAACAGTTCGGACCATTAAGTTACTAGGCTTATTTTAATGGAATTTTGTGATTTCAGTATATTTATTGTCGAATTCAATTTTCTGTATAAAATGCGCTGAAACTTTAATCGGATTTAAATTCATGTGCGAAATGAAAAAGCCCATTGCGCTGAGAAAATTGCAGCCACATTCAATAGATTTCCCATTCAATTTAAATTGAAATTGCATAAAAAATTGACGATCGATAAAATTTTCCTATTTTCAATGCTCTTGTACACCCTACTTGAATTCTGCACGTTATACTATCAGAGTTATGCTCCCTCTTTTTGGATCATTTGAACTGTAACATGAACTGACATTATAGTTTTAATGCGCTTCGATTGTTTGCCACCGTAAATATGTGTTGGTTTACACCATCATGTACTACACGGCACTGAATCCATCCACTTTCATTTATTGTAGTCAGCAAAAGAGAATAATTGATGAGTGTGACAATAACTAAATATTCCGTATTTCCATCATCATATGCAACATTCACACTCTTTATTTCTATCTCGCTCTAGCGTTTGCTCATCATTCAAGTGGAAAATTTGTGAAAATTACTTATATGAACGAACGACAGAATATACAAAACAACCAGATCGACGATGTGGATAATAATAAAGATTCTGTATTTGCGCGTTTATGAGTAAAATAATGAACGTGAAACCCACAAACAGTGCCACGTTCGTATAAAACACGATTCATCCATCGCACGTACAAAATAACGAGGAAGCACATTGAAACACCAACAATAGAAGGCATCTTTTCGGGTTTTTTTTCTCTCTCGACATTTTCAATAGAATATTGTGAACAAAAATGATTTCATTTGCTCGAAGGAAGAGATTCAACGGCAAATGCATTTTATGTCATCCCAATCGAAATATTTATAACTTGAATACCAATTCTTTGGAATTGTTTTTCTTCATTTCTCTCTCTCTGCCTCTGAATGTGTCTCCCGCCATTTCTCGATCATTCTTTACATTTCAAATTGCGTTTCGCTTTGGTATTTTAGGTATTTGTTTGCGTTACTTGCTTTTACTGACGTAGAAAATGCGCGCTGGCCACGAAAGGATTTGCAGTAAAATTTATTCATGCCTTAATACACAAGTGAATGTGCATGCACACATTGTTTACACACTGCATATTCATTCGATGACGAGATAGAAATTTTATTTTATTTTCATCGTGAACAGAAAAAAAAAATAAAATGTCTTACATCCGTAAGATGAATTTTTCCGCACTGTGATCCACGACATGCATTTATTACAAATCTTTTACTCAAATAATTCACGAGAAAACTAAATCTGACATAAGTTTTAGATAAAAATAATTTTCGAAGCACTTTTCCTACAAAAACTACTAAAGATGGGAATTTTTGTATCGGAGCCATGCCTATATGATATCGTAATCATGTGAAAATTTGCAGAGGTTATTTTTTTCACAAAAAGTTAACATTCTGAAAGTTTGAAGAAATTTCAATGCATATTAAGAGCGAAAAATCCAAAATTTTGTTCGGGAGGTGCCCCTAATATTCGTTGAAGCGTCTTCAAACTCTCGGAATGGTATTTATGTGTGATAAAAATAACCTGTGCAAAGTTTCAGCTCATTACGATATCATACAGGCATGGCTTCCATACAAAAATCCAAATTTTTTGAATTTTTCGTATAAAAAGTGTGTCGAAAATGAATTGTATCGCAAAACTAACGTCATATTCGGTTTCCTCGTACCCAAAAACCCCCCAATACACATTTTTGAGTGTTTAAGAATACATTAAATATCACTTTTGGAAGAAAAATTGAATTTTTCCCATGGATGGACATGGGCATCACACCAGACATGACACTTTACCCTGTCAACCAAAGTCGCTCAAAATGTAATGGTTTCTATTCCTCGGCACCCCCAATCATCCTGTGAAGTCAGATTTTGAATTACTTTTCTTGTTTGAAAGTTATCGTGTTAACAAATTTTTGCGTACAGGGTACAGGGTACAGGGTACGCACATACATTCGGACATCGAAAAAACGCTAGATTCGTGTTCCCTGGCCCCAAAAACACCCAGAAAACACATTTTTTATGGGTGTTAATTTTTCGACCGATTCCAATACTTTACCTTACACACTAGGTGTGTGCGGAAAAGTAATATATATATAAAGACAATTCCCTCTGGTTTTCGAAATGGCGTTTGCTCCTCTCATGTCTATCGAGATTTTTATCACAATGTTTACGTCTTTATTGATTTATTTTTTGTTTTAATTTTAAATGTGCCTCAATAAAACTGGACGTGAAAAAACAATAATAGAGTTTGCCCTTTATCGATAAATGCAAGCTCATAAAGCCATGAATAAATGTACCATTTTGCTAGTTCAGTAGTAGATGATTACCATATTATTATAATAGAGTGCACATTTTCTTCACAAGTGTGTTCGGAAACCAAACAATCGCTTTTTTCAAAGTGGAACAACTTGTTCGATGGATGTGGACTTTTTAATTAACTTTATAAAATGTTGTATATACAAACAGTGAACGACTGAAGCTGAAACGTGATTTTTCGCTATATTGATGCTTTTGTGGTGTTTTATAATAACGTCATTATGTTTATTCGTTGAACATTTTTTCATTCGCGAACAAACAATTAGATCACAATGATGATGATATTTGTGTAGATTGCTTAAATTTCGTAAATGCTTGCTGATTTCGGATGGGGAAAATATTCAATTTTAATTTACCATTTTAAAAAAATCGATATCACATAAACAATGCGTCATTTTCAAACACCAAATCAACTTTTCATAGATACTTTGATTGATATATTAAAGGCATTTGGTCTTTAACGCAAAGTCTCTTGTGTAAATCCAGTGATAAGCTTTGAATGAAGCAATATCATTATAATCCATAATAATGTTTGTTAAAAAGGGAGAGAAAGAATTTGCGCAATTCTCTATTGCCGATGTAATTAAAAAAAAAAAATCGTGCATCAATTGATGTTGTACATTCCTAAAAATAGTTTATCGGATGACAAATGAAGCCATTTTACATTAATTGTGTGGGTCGAATCTATTCGTTATGTCGTCATAACAAGAGGAAATTATTCGATTTACACAGTTTATTTTACACGTAATATTTATTCAAACTGAATTCTGCCAATGACTTTGCTGGGATTCACACATTTTTCGGTTTATTTGGATTTTTTTCATTTTCTTATCGGCGCAAAAATTCTCTTTATACAAAGCAATATTAGCAACTGGTAGTCAATTAATGCGTTGAGCCACGCGATTTAACAATATAAAAAGTGTTCATTTCTTTTTCGATCGGTGGGGTGTACTTTTACAAAACATGGAAAACAAATCACCGTCTAGAATATACCTGTTGATTGAAAAAGAAGAATGAAATAAATTAAAACGCAAAACTCATACAAATACAAAATCGATACGAAGGCATTGTGTTGTAATTGTGTTTTTGCCACACTAGAAGCCAGTGCGTACTATAACAACATCATCACCATAACCGTTGTGCGTACATATACGATCCCGCGAAAACATGTCCATCAAAATCGATTTGATGGAAAACAGATGATATATGTATATTTCAGTTTTGTTTTGAAGATATATTATTACCGATATAAATGGTTGAGCTTTGTTTACAAAATACGAAGACGTTGTGTGTTTCAAGCACATTTGTTTTCCTTGTTGAACTCATTGAATATTTCACGCATCAAAATTTTCCAATAATTACATGTGAATGGTTTTAAAATGTATAAAATCAGTGAAGAACAGTATTGGGTGAATGGGAAAAATAAAAAAAATGGAAAACGAAACGAGAGAGGGAAAAAACACACACACACCGGAAAGACCAATAATTAATATTATCATCATTACACATTTTGTTCGGTGTAACGCTATTTTTAGAGGAAGATGGAAAAAATGCCATTTAATTATAAACCAACAGTTGCCTTTCTACCATCGACATCGCCTTTGTCCATCGAGAATGGCATTTAAATAAGTTAGTTTGTTAGTGTTTGGTCATGGATCGACTTCTATTCGTACACCGCTGATAAGAACGGATATTTCAATTTGTGTGTTTATATATATTTTCTTTTCTCTCTCTCTCTCGAATATTTCGGACATTCTAATTTAGGTCATTTGCCTTTAAAACCGTCAACTCCGTATATCGATTGGACGAAAGTTCAATATCCTACTTCTATCCCATTTTGTTTCAATTAGAAAAGGGAAAAAGAATCACATCAATCATAAAATCATGACATGAATATTTCATAAGCTTGAACGGAAAAATACGATTTTCAAATGAGCGTACAACGAAGCCAAGCCTCATTGCGTGCTGACTAATTAAAAGCAAATGCTTTTATTGTACCATAATTTTAATTTAGTCGTTTTTCGCAATTATTGCTGTTAACCGAATAACAGCTTAGTAGTTTTGATATTATTACATTTTTTTCTGTAATCATCATGTTTCGTTTTAGATCTGTGGGATATGATGTTGATTTTTTACGAGTCTATCGAACTTCACGAAATTGAATACACTGACTTAATTCAAACAGTTTTATTAATTAATTAACCGTAAAAGGATTAAATGATAATGAAACATGTGATGTTTTAGTTTCACAAAGCTTATGACGATTCGAAGACTTCAATGTTTCAGATACGCTATTTTTTGCCCACAGATTGACTTTCAATAATCATTTAATCTTCTATTCGAAATCATATATCATCGCATAGTTATTTAACGCATGATTTGTATCATGATGAACGACTGATATGGAAGTTTTTTTAACTTACAATATTGTTTCAGGTGTTGTTTATTCATCAATAAATAAAATATTTAATGAGCTTTAAAACGTAATCTAATGTGAGAACGATAACAAAAAATGAGATTATGTTATATGAATACGAAACGTGAAATGATCTGGTTTTGATTTGCTGCATTCAGTATAATAGTTTAATTTGTGAAGTGTACATCTTATATTTTCCAAAAAATGTTAAAAAATCGATATTTCTATGCCATATTGGCATTGGTTCTGGTTGTCTTGGGAGTCGTAATTATATTTAAATTCACAAGTGTGAGCAATGAGATTCATGCAAATGAAGTGCTTGGCACAACAGCAGAGGTGAATTCAAATATAGCTGATAATGTTAAAGATCAATGCGCCAGCTTAACACAGGAACTCATTGATGAAATCAAAGCATATCAACCACTTGTACATGAAATCGCAAACGCCATCGTCGCTGGAAAATATTCGGGGGATACATGGAATGCGTAAGAATAGAAATTTGAAGAAAAACATATTATTCTTATTGGTTGAGCATGATTTTTATGTAAATTATTTAGATTGGCTGAAATGACGGACAAATTTGGTGGTCGAATGTCGGGATCAAAGAGTTTGGAAAATGCAATTGATTACATGGTTGATGAAATGAAGAAAGCTGGATTAGACAATGTTCATACGGAGAATGCTACTGTGCCTCACTGGGAACGAGGTTATGAAAATTGTCAAATGTTAACACCGAGATGGACAAAAATTAATATCATTGGATTGGGTAGTTCTGTCGGTACTATAAGAGGCGGTTTGTTTGCTGATGTTGTTGTTGTCGAGAGTTTTGAAGAATTTGATAAATTGACCGAGGCGACTGTACGTGGAAAAATTGTACTATTCGTGCCAGAGTGGCAGGGATATTCCAAAACTATGCAGTATCGTTCACAAGCAGCCTCAGTTGCATCGAAAAAAGGAGCTGTGGCAGCTTTGGTTCGATCTATTACACCATATTCAATTGCATCATTACACACTGGCTCGCAAAAATATTCAAATGACGTTAAAAATAAAATTCCAGTGGCAGCAGTTACCGTTGAAGATGCATACATGATGCTTCGAATGTATCGTAGAGGTCAAAAAATAACCTTGCATCTGGAAATGGATGACACAAATCTGGAAGATTTTGTGTCACGCAATACAATTGCGGAATTAGCTGGCGAGAGAAAAGCTCCAGTTGTAGTTGTTTCGGGGCATTTGGATAGCTGGGACGTAGGTGTTGGTGCCATGGATGACGGTGGCGGTGCATTTATCGCATGGAAAGCATTACACTTATTGAAACGGCTCAATTTGAAACCAAAAAGAACAATTCGTGCAATTCTATGGACTGCTGAGGAGCAAGGTCTTCATGGCGCCAAAGCATATGAACGAGAACATAAGCCACATGAAAGAGAAGAATTTAATTTTTTCATTGAAAGTGATGTAGGCACATTCACGCCACTTGGTCTACAGTTCAAAGGCAATAAAGAGGCTGAGTGCATTTTCAAGGAAGTTTTAAAACTGATGTCGCCATTGAATGCAACCGAATTTGATACAGAATTTATGGGTCCAGATATTAGTCTATGGGTCAATCGTGGATTCCCAGGTGCAAGTCTTTTTAACAAAAATGAAAAATATTTTTACTATCATCATTCGGTCGGTGACAGTATGCTCGTCGAAAATCCAGATGATCTTGATAAAAACACTGCCTTGTTTGCTGCCGCCGCTTATGTTATAGCCGATTTAAGTGTTGATATGCCAAAAGATATCAAAGATTAAATTTTTAATAATAAAATAAGACATATGAATGACAATATTTTTAATTCTTTCAAGATGTAGATTAACTCAAAGATTAAACAAAATGTTGACACAGTTATCAGTTTGAAACAAAAGAAATTAAAAACTGGGAAATGATCAATAAAAATACATAATTATTATAACGATTGTGTTGTTTTTCTTTAAATTTTACGATCTTTCGAAGTGATGAAATTGGTTTGCAGTGTTGTTAAATTCTGAATTAATTTTAGTCCATTATATTTGAGTAGATATATGATTTTTTTCTGAAGAGAACTTCAGGAGAGAAAATCTTCTGCCTGCCCTCAATTGCTTTGTACTCTGTAAATGTGAACATTTTTCCGAATGATTTTTTTAATCAACTTTTCTAAGGTTCAAAACAAGCGAAATTTCCTCGTATTTCACAAATTCCACATGTAAATTCATTCATTCAAATATCGTTTGTATTGTAAGAAACACAAAAACGTTCATTTCATTTAATTTCAATTAAACGTGAAATTCTTTTTTCTTTGAAAAAACAAGTTGAATTCACTTACTTCTTTGTAATTGTTAAAGATCCATCTATGTGCGCCAAGATTTCGTGTGGTACGGTCGAAATCCTCTTCAGTATCTGAACATTGGTCAGACATTGAAAATGGCGCATTTGAATTCAGAACAGTAACCGTTGCAGTCATGGGATTGATATTGGGATTTGTTGCTGCTGGCATTGTAGTTGCTGTTGTTGTTATTGTTCTCGGCGTAAAATTTTCGTTTTTCTCTCGATTTTCACTAATCTTCGTCGTATCATTCGATTTTTTTTCGTTAGAAAGATTTTTACCAGCGTCAATTGTATTCAAAGAGTTTGTATTTAAAACCGACATTTTCCATCAATCGTCGAAGATTTTATTGAAATGTTCACCAATTAAAGGGACTTTTGTGGGCTTTGGTTTAATATACCATTTCTTTGTGATAGAAAAAAAAAACAATATTTTTTAAAAATGGATCATGTTGATAGAGAAAAGAGATTGCATAAAGATTTTACAAAATTCTTTTGAAAATATTTCGAAATTATGACATAATCGAAGGACGGAACTTTTAACTTCCGTACCGTAAATATTTTCGACGGCATAAAGGGTACAGAACTTTCAAGATCAAAAGAAGCCATGGAATTTGTATTACTAGAAAAGAGTTTCTTACGAAGAAAATATTCACAAAATTAATGTTCAGGGTCAAACATATATGTTCATAAAGTTTACAAGCTCTTAAACATCATCATTCACACTTAATATTCACACTCAGTTATAGAATAAAAAATAAATTTTGATAAATGGATCGTCTGAAAATGGCATTTTTGTCATTTTTTTCGAATTGGCATTAATTGCTACACTGAACCGATAACATTGCTGTATACGAATGTCATCGAATTTTCAGTTCAGCGGCTCACGCGCGCGTTCAAAGCCAATCTAAAAATAGGATTTATTTGGCAACTTCTTTAAGTAAAGTACCGACCGACACACATACACAACACAAGCGCACATTTGCAAATATTTTACAGCACACAATTCACATCATCACATCCAAATCGAACTGAATCGAGAACAGATGTTCTAAATAGTTCTTTTTTTATTATTTTCTTTTGACTGCTCACGAATTGTTTTTCTTCGTTCAAATTATTTTCGTTTTTCGCGGGACAACAATGAAAATGGTTTGTGTGTAAAACTAACGTGACATACTGATCATTTCAGAGTCATAAACCATTCAAAACATCATTAATCATAAAACTAATGCCAACAATGTTCAATTCTTGAAACGCAGTTATTTTTTAAAATATTGATGTGACATTTTCCAGTTTTCCATCTAATATTCTTCTATTATGATAGAATAAAATGAATAAACTTCAACGTGTTTGTCACATCAAAAGGTCACTATGAAATACGCAAAAAGGTAATAGATTCAAAACCAATACAATACAACTTAATTGACAGAATATTGGGTGTTTAATATGATTGAATGACCGAATCGAATTGTTCGTAGTTGTGGTTTGTTTGTGTATATGCTTGTTGCGTAGTTTTCGAAACCATACAAATTCACATAAAACGAATGATGGAAATGCCATTTTATGAAGTTACTTGAATGAAACAAACGCTTTTATCATAATATCGAATCGATGAATTTATTTTTCATATGCCAGATAAGACGGAAAAAGCACTCGAACCGAAGCGTAATTTAAAGCAATATTGAAATGTTTTTGTGTTATTGTGTGCGCGTTTTGAATTCAACGCAATAAATATAACGATTGATGGGTATTTTCCAAATGTTTTCTGTAAATGTATTGAAATTGGTGTTGTTGGTGCTGATGCTCGTTCGATTAATTTCCAATGAATATATTCAATTTACGTAAATACGATTGCTTAATATTATCACAGCTGATTGGTTTTTCCATCATATCGGAAGAGAATATCGCACAAAATAAATAAACCATTTAGATAAATACACCTTTCAGCCACGGTGTGAAAAAAGCCTCGGAAAATATCGAAGAAGAAAATTGTGGCTTATTTTAATGAAAGCAATTCGATTCCAAGTAGATGAACCGTTGTGTTGATTGACACACGTTCTCACTAGTGATTGCTTGTATTTAAAAAAAACATACGGCAGTATGTGTGACATTTTTCAACAAGATTATTTGTTTACTAAACATTAAATGTATACAAACGTTGTGCCTTAAAGTCTCACTTTAATCTCAGAAGTTTTTTCAATCATTTGAATGACAATGAGAAGATGGCGCATTCACAGTTTCAAGAGAAAATATTTACTGTTTTCTATAAATCCAATTGGGGATGAAAAGATTTATCACATTATAATCCCTTCTCATTGCGAATAGAATTCAATGAATACAGGTATAAAAAAAAACAAGTTAAAACGATCACAGCAAATCCAACGGATATACATTATTATTATGCGAGCCCATCAAATGGGAGAATCGAGACTAACAAACGGGAAACAAGCGTTCACATATATGAAAAACGTAACACGCGTGAAACATTTTCTAGGCCAAGCACCCACACGCGACATGGTAAATAGATACTAGATAGTAAAGCAAACGACACACAGCATACAGTCATATGCATTTATCGTAATATCCAACTCTACCCTCTATCTCTAGCTTTGTACGCGATACGTTGACTTGTGTTACTCATTTTATCTCTCTCTCACACACACTCTCAGTTCTTACTCTTGTTGTCGTTATTTGTGGCCTGACGTGACGCCGTTGGAGAGTCTCACTTGCAATGTATTTTATTCTAAGTTTGCACAACACACACATACAATACAAAATATAAAAAAATGATACACGCATCCAAAAGAAGAGAAGTGTGTAAATCGCAAAAGAAACATACAATTTCTTCACATATTCACATCGTGTCTATAGTAAAATATTTTATTTGAAATAAGCTCAAATCATTCACCATTAAATAATTCTTTTGCGTTTTAATATCGATTTATGTGTGTTTCTACTTGTGCTCTTCAGAAATCAAGAAAGAAAGGAGAAAAGTAAATGAAATGAATTACGAAGATTTCGTACATGCGACACATGAATCAAAATTATTGATTTTATGGCATTTTGCGTGTGCTGATCGAATACAGCTCACCAAAAAAAAAAAAAATGGAAAAGAGAGTGAGAGTAAACTCGATTGATGTAGAAACACGCGCGCACTGTTTCTTATTACATCTTCCATCCATTAAACACGAACAGCAGGCTTTCCATAAAACCACAGCATTTTGATAGTTTAAATGGAGATGAAGCAGACAATGTGAACTCAAGTTAAAAGAGATAGAAATTCGGTTTGGATTGTTCTTCATTATATTCATTTTATTCCTTTGGAAGATAGATATTGGAACATAACAGCCATTGAATATCGATATTATCAAAAACCACAAATCGATTAACGGGATAAAGAAGAACCAATTGACATTGGTAAGTAGAGCCATACACAACCGAAATTGCAGCACAATCATTTGCGTCACACGGGCATTTGTTGTTCAACAAATAAGTTTCATTGGAATAGCTAATCAATATAATGTGCGCATTTTCATCGAGAAAAAAACCGAACGAAAGCACTTTCACTGCTAAGACTTTCATCACATTCGTCGGTAACATGTAATAAATTTATGCAATCTCTTTGGTAATGATTTTCGTTGAAAATCTTCAACAACTCCTTCGCAATGCTATACCCGTACATTGTGCGAGGTATTCAAGTTTGGCAAAAGTGTATTATAGATTTTCTTTGCCAAGGCGTTTTTGTGCACATTCCAAATTATACAACGACTTTTTAATCACTTCACATATGTATACCACAAAACTGTGAATGAAACCAATGAATATTGCCACCGCAGAAATGAGCAATTTAAATCGGCAATAAAATGCTAGCCTTTCTGGGATATATTGAAGAAAAATGTTCACAAATTTCTATAATATTTCATCTTTGCAAAATTTTGATTTCTATTCATAGAACGTATTTAAATGAGAGTTTTTGTCACTTCACGAGAAAAATTCTGTTCTTTTTTATACATTCAATTTGATTTGCGAAATATTTTCACTGTTAGCAATCATTTGATATATGCTTATCGTTGATATAGACACTGTTTTTTGGATTCCATTGAACTCGCTCAATAACACAAACTATGAACGGGTGAATACATGAAATTATAAATGTTCTGTCGACGCGTAGTGATGCCCAACTGAATCCAATGTACGCTTCCTGCAAACTTTCTACTGATCTGGATGGTCGACATTTCCATTGAGTTAAATTCAGAAATAGAAGAAAGCTTCCCAGTCTTAGATTCAAGCATACAACAACAATAACAACATGAGTTTTCACTCATATTGAGTGAAAAATGGTCAATTTTCTAAACAAGATGCTTTTCAATTAGAAACACGTTTTTCCACTCATTTTGATTTGCTCGTTAAACGCACACGCATTGCGTGTCTCTTTTTATCAGCTTCAGCTACACGGAAAATGCTTATCATTTTTATAGAGTGTGCGTACACATGTTTTTTTTCTGGGCGCTTCTGAGCTCTGTTGGAAACGACTAATTTGAATTTTTCCCTTTAAAATCTACACGTAAACATGTCCCAAAAAAAGTTTTCATTATCAAATAAAATTGCAATTTTTGATAAAATTACGAATTTCTCTACCAACAAAAAAATATATTCCATAAATGTGGTAAGGTGAAAAAAGAGCATACACCTCAAGCACCCGCCAAGACATTTTTTAATGTGTTTATCAGCGTGAAAATAAAAGAAGTCATTCCACCAAAGGTCGAAGGCGCATGTGCCGAATGGAACGTTAGCATCTATTCCAATCGAAAAATTCAAATCTAAAATATTCACTCAGTTTTCCCGGCAATGAGTCAATTTGCTCAAGCCGTTGGCACGAATTAAGCCAAATTGTTACAATAATTTCGCTTAAATGCTAGTGTTTATTTATCGTTTCGGTTTCATTGCTTTTTTCGCGCAAACATTTTCATCACACATAAAATTGGCCCAAAAATCATCGATGACTCATTCTCATTGCATTTGCATGAAGAGCACACAAAATTTAAATGTTTAATGGTATACGTTTCACAACAGTTGCATCATATAAATGATATAATTTGCAATTCTCAATGCAATTTGATTTCACTAGCTATACAACTTTTTTTAAATATCAAAAGAATATGAACGAAATTCATACGAAACAATTTTAAAAAAAGACGTCCGCAGCCGAACAAGAAAACGTGTATGTCGATTCATATTTGCGAACGTAGAATAGGTCATATTTGTTTGTACTGATTTACAAACATTGACTATTCTATATTTATTTTTCTAAATGAAGGTTCAGCTGTGCACGCTTCGTACTATTGTAACTGGTTTTGTGCGCTCCGAAATGCGAACGAAATACACGAATTGAAATCGAATTCCAAACGATATTAAAACTATAGTAAATATATACATAGTGTAGCAGTAAACGCTTACCAAAAATTGTTGTACAGCCATTGGAAGCGCATATGCGTCGGTATGTACCATTTTTTTATTTCGTTCACGTTCGGATGTCGTCATTTTTTCACTGGAACCTCTTAATAATTCGGCCAAAAGTTCCGGACTCGCTTTGAGTGGCAATGATTGATTGTGTTTCATCGGTGATTTGCCACGGTCATCGTGGCGATGCGTCGATTTTTCATTGCCAACATTCAATAATGAAATGGCTGCCGGTGATGATGCATTTCTTTTGGTAATTTTATCTTTTATCTCGGATGTGGCACGTTTACTATGGCGATCGTCTGCATTTCGAACGCCATAACTATCGGTCGAGATTCTTTTCGTATCTTTTCGCGATGATGTTTCGACACAGCTTGGAAATCGTTTATGATATGCATGAACGGCTTCATTTCGTGGTGCCTCCATATGGGCTGGCGTTGACGCAGCTCGACAATGTACTGGAATCGGCAATGAATTTTCCGTTTCACTGGATTTTCGTGACGATATGGATTTACCCAGTGAAATGCTACGTTGCGTGAACGGTGGCACTAAATCATCGTACGCCAGTAGATTTGAATCGCGTTGCTTTGCTGACAACATATACGGACTGAAATGGAAAACATTCAAATCATTCATAATTAATTGCATAAATATTTGAAATTTATAGAGTTCAATTACCTTTCGGATCGATTCAATTCTTCTAATACACCGTCATAATTTTGTTTGGCCGGTTTTTTCATTTCGGCTTCGAGTAAAATACCATATGGACCTCTTAGTGGACGTTTTGAATATCGTTTTAAATCATGATCTGGAGCAGGACTTTGACTCGTTCGATCTCTTGGCGGCGGTGTCCTATCGCTCATTTCATTGTCTGATATTGAATCGGAACGTAGTAAAAATATTTTACTTCTCGGTTTTGATGGTGGTGGCGGTGATGCTAGTGAAAGTGATTCATCTTTTTCCTCGGAACTTTGTAGCGATAAGCTTTGACGTCGAGTTTGAGTCGTACCTCTTTGTGGCCACACAGGTTGTCTACCACAATCCGAATCAGGCGTAAACACATCACAAGAGGCCGATATTGGTTGAGTTTCATCACAACTAACGCATGGACTTTTGCCGGTACTATCCAAATGTGATCTTGACGACGTAAAAACTGATTCGGGTGAGGTTGGTTCGAGTGATGATAAACTATTTAAATTATTTTTACGCATCTTTTCTGGACCTTCAAGTTGTAAATGGTCCTTTCGATGATATGCACCAATGGGCCAAATTGGTTGACCATTACTATCGATTTCAGGCACAATTCGTTCACACAAATCATTTGAACTGTCGCCAACTGTCCACGAAACTGCATTTAATTCTTTATTGTGTTTGTCGAGAGTTGCCCATTGTATGTACATACCCTTTCGTCGTTTTGATTTGTCAATTCGACGCTTTTCATCGTGACTTTTTGGTGAATTTGTACCAGATGTTGATGTAGATGGATTACTATCGCTGCTCTTATCTTCATTGCTGTAACGCTTACGAACTTCAACTCCATAGTCGGATGCATAGTCTGATCGTGGTTGTTGCGATTGTGATTGTGTAGATGCATTATCTATTTCTTCAAATGAAGACCCACTTACGGTGCTAACACTCGAACCAGGCGTCACAGCAATCGCTGGTAATGTATCTATGTCCAATGTTGGACTTTGAGCTTTTTGTCGCAATCTATCTGATAGTTCGTCCACATTTGAATTTCTCTTACTATGTTCGTCTTTTTTAATATCATTATTGGCCGAACTCACACCCACATTTGATTTCATTTGTTCGGATTGTATTTCCAAAAAAGCCGGTATATCATCATCATTCGGCTCAACAATTAAAGTCTTGTTTGATAGTTCATTCACATTTTCACTGTCTACATCACATGTATTTATCCATTTATCACCAAGATGTGAACATTCAAATACGGGTATTGGGATCAAACATGGATTCACCGTTTCAAAATAGTTATCAACACCTTGCACGGCGGCACTTTCATCACGCGGTGAATCGACGGTCATTTGTGCGGCATTGATTGTATTGAATGGCAATGACGTTGGTGACCAATCACTCTTTTCCACCATCGATGTTTCGCTCTTACTTGAAATTGGTGAGTGTTCACATTCTTCTTCCAAAATCATATTGGCTGTGGCCGAAGCGTCTATTAAATCTAAATTCAGATCGTTTCGTTTATCAAAAGGTCCTTTCAATGGAATCCAAATGTCTTTGCATTCGTTCAGTTTTGCATCTTCTGGGCTTGAACTTTCGCTGCGTTCTTTTTTACATGAAAAACTCATTGGCGGCGATTTTGCTTTGCTTAACGACGCTTTCAATGCGCCCAATGCTGAACGAATGTATTTTCCCGACGAATAATCAATTTGCGAAAATGATGCACTACGAAATGGTTTTTGTGAATTTGTATTTGAGGCCGATCGATTTGTTTGCGTCACTTTTTCGGTTTCTTTGTGTGCATTTTCTTCGAGAAGTGGTAACATCGGTTTTTCTTTATCACGAATTTTCAAAATACTTTCAAGATTTGATAAACTCGTATTGGGACGAAGTTTATTGATTAATGAACTCGACGGAGGTGGTGGTAATGGCGGCGGTGTTGGAACATGAAACAAACTCTGACCGATCGATGTTGTATAGGATGGATCATTTTCAGTGGAATGATCGAATTTTGTGCTTATTATGGGGCTACTAGACTCTGATGCCGATGTATCGATGAACTTTTCAATGCTGCCACTGTTTCGATGCAGCGATATTCGAGGTTTACGTGGCGGCGGAATTGGTGGCACATGGTGACTTGATGCTTCACTTTTACCCACGGGGTTTTGTGCATTATTTCGTGGACCTTTTAATAACTCAGTTATTTCACGTAAACGTTCTAATTTATCACTTGAACGTTTGCTGGCCAATTCCAAATCGTGATTTGATACTTTTTTATCTTCTGGTGGATTTGATGCTGATCTTCGACCAAAACGTAAACGCTGCCAACGATCCAACGTATTATTACGCTTTTCCATATTTTGTTGCTGTTGACCAGAGAGAAACATTTAGAAAAGAACATTAAAGATTAAATCAATTCGATGTTGCTGAAAAATTTATTTAAATTCTTATTTTCTTCGATTTTCTTTGAAATATTCAGCAATTTAATTGCCAAAAAAAAGAACTTGTCTCGAAAAATGTTCAAACTGATTGAGATTCAATGAAAGGTATCGGTTTACAGCACAAGTGAATCACAAAAGAATATGAACATGACATGTTCAACAAGCACACAATGTTTCATTGATACAAAATTATTCAGGACGCGATTAGATAGATGTGTTCTCATATATTGTAATATATGCCAACAAAAACTTGTTTGTAAAATTATTCTAGTGTCTTGGTTGGTTGACCGACATTTTGTTCTGGTTTGTGTGTTATGTCGTATGTCATGATGATGATGATATGCGATGGTTGTTTCTTTGTGTGAATTTTTGGCTTAATCATCATCATTCGTCCCGATTGACAAGTGCACACGAGATTGACTTGTGTAATTTGTAAAATCGTTGTATCTTGTATCGGAACTTGTTGAGACAAATGAGAATTTGGCAAAATTGCAACCATGATGTTAGTCTGCGCAATTGGATTTTATTCTGTATCTCAGATTCAAATGAAAGTGAAAGAGCTGATTGTGGGAGTAGTAGCGCGTAAGCAATGATCACATTTCATTATGTCTACGCCAAACGAATTAGCAATATTTTTTTTCTTCAACTCGGACAGATGAAAGAAGAGCCTACATCAAAAGCCTCAATATTCATATACACGAAATCAGTCTGAATGTGTGAGCGCTGAGAATTTATGCGCGCGCATCACGTTCATTCGCTTCGTCATTTTGTTAAATGAAAAAATTTAAAAATAATTTTCATGAAGAAAAGATAAAAAAAACACACCGAATTCAAGTGAATGTTACGTGCCGCTTAACAAAATACTTTTAGTTCTGTTGAGTAAATGCTTTGCTTTTTTTTCCTTGAGTTTTGCTCAATAACCAAAAGAAACTTCTGTTTTTTCTCATCATCAAAATTTTCTTACATGAAAAAATGAAGCAGTTAAGTAAGAACACAAAAATCATGTCATTTTTTGGTGAATTAAGTATTACACTTTGGGCGATATCGATTCAATTTTCCATATTTTTCAGTCAACGAGCTGTCGAGTAATAATTTTGTGGAACACTGATTTTCCAGATATTTACTTTAACAATGTTTGTTTTTTTTTTTTTTTTTTTGGATGAAAACATCAGTTTTTGGCAAACACTTTTTGCTCAATGGAAAAATTCGATCGAGTATTTTTCGATTGATGCGGAAGAAAACTGTGAACTATTCATTCGAAAACAGACAAATAAAAAAACAAGATGATAAAAATGAGATGATTCCTTTGCTGTGGGAATGTTGTTTACTTTGAATCGCTCATAAAATGGAATAGATGCAAGATGAAAATCGTAAAACTGAGGAAAAACATTTGATTTCAATAAAAAAAAAATCTGGGAAAAATAATACACATAAATAATTATGTTATTATATTGGTAACTTACAGTATTTGGGGTCAAATAATGGGCATATCGATGATCAATATTTTGAATGTAACGAAATCGGTCCGAAATAGAGTCAATGTAACTGCGATTTAATTTCGATTGTCGGTCGAATGAATATCCTTCACCGCCGCTGCTGTTCGTTCGACGATGGTTCACAAAAATAGTAAGATCTTTTTCGATTGAATTATCAAATGAAGCGCGTCGATTAAAATTTCGATTTTGACCTGCGGACGACGATACAATGGGTTTATGTTCAAAAAGGATGCACTCTTCGTTTGAAATGTTCTCCGTTTTTGTATTCAACACCAAATTATCATCAAGTAATACATTTCCGTTTGAATTACGGTCCGTATTTTCATTATCACTTATATTCAATTCACACTGAAATTCGTGAGCGTTGCCACTCTTCACTGTATCTGAATTTGTTTCAAAAATATTGCACTGATCACTTGACGAAACTGCACTTTGATCCGTGCATGCAATCACGGTGTATTCACTATTTTGTTTTGATTTATCCGATTCGTATTCCACTGTTGTTAATGATGGAGCAGCTGTTGCGTGTGTTGTTATGGCGCCGTTGTCGTCTGGATACGTTGAAGAAATGTGTGTAATTTTTTGTTTAACTTGTTCAACGGTGGCTGCTGAATCAGTTGTATTGGCTAAATTTAATTTTTCCAAATGACACAAATAATCGTCGTCGACGTCGTCGTTGTTGTCGTTGTCACCGTTAACGCCTTCGTGTTTGTGTTGCTTCTTATTCACCAAATTCAACCGTTTATTCTCATCACAATCACTTTTCAAATGTTTATGCGTACGGCCAGAGCGAATTTTATAATTTATGTTTTGATTACAATCCGTATTTTTTGAATGAGATTCTTTAGCTGGCGAAATTGACGTCAATCGAATTTTACTGTCAATGGATTTATAGGAACCACCATTTATCGTTCTATTATATTGCGTTTTGAAATTGTTGTTATTATTATTCACTGAATTTTGGCACGTGTCGACTAAATCATCATCGTGCACAAGTTCCGATTTATCTTTAAATTTTGGTATGCTTCCAATTAATGTGGAGCTATCATTGCCAATCATAAAAAGTGTTGCCGTTTTTTTCTGAGCTGTGATATTTCTTGAGCAACAAACCAATTTGCTCTGTTGCACATCCTGCGCCAACCGAACGTTATCCGGAAAATGTGACGAACTTTTTGGACAATATTCAGTCGATTGAAGTCGCTTTATTTGCTTAATAAAACGTTTATCCAATTGTCCAATGCAATCACTGCAATTTTCGTTAATCGATTGAACACGCCGTAAGTAATTTAAATGAGATTGTTTTGGCGTTGGTATTGGATCGGTTTTTCGTTTTTGAATTTTTGCACATTTATCACTTTGAATGTTACAATTCGCTCGTATCGAATGATCGACATAAAATTGTGTCGAATTTTGATACGAATTATCATGTGTTAGACACTTTTTCGGGTCCAAAATATCCGTTTGCGTTGTTGTATCCGAATTACAAAATGAATTTTGATCATTATTTTGATTTTTATACAATTTACAATTATTATTCAAATGTGATGTGTTCACATTTGTATCACTACTACTGATGCAACGAAAATTCGAGGGATTCACTTGAAATTGAGCGCATTCAACTGATTGTTCATCACATTTATAATTGGCTTTAAATCGTGGGCCTTTTTTACAGTCACTGTAACAACAAAAACAACATTGATCACTGTGTTCGTAGTCCAAACAATGGAATTTCGATTTATTTACTTGAAAATCACTGGCATTAACACGATTTGCGTCAACCCGCGACTGATCTGCAATCGAATTAATAACATTGCTATTGAATTTATGGCCAACATTGATTATTTTTCGATTTTCAAGTGTGTGACACGGTTTTGCTGTGGCATTTTCATTTGATTTTCTCGCTTGCAACGAACACTCGCACTCGTTTTGCTGCTGCGGCTGCTGCTGTTGCTGATGATGTGTAGGCGATTGACGACGATTTTTACGTTTATTTTTCCCAACAACATCCAAATGTGCGGACGATTTTTGCTCGGTGGATGTGATTGATTTATGACTATTATCGATTTGATTTGCTGAAATATAACAGCAAATTGGCGTTGAAAACGATTGACGATTTTCGCCTATTTCTACCACAGAAATATCGTCAACAACACATGAATTCACCGATGTTGAATTTACGTTTGAAGATTTGTCACTGAATTTATTCGTTTCATAGTTGGAAAATGGCTGCTGAGATGAAACATTTGCACAGATGACCGATTCAGTCGGCTGATTTCGGTCGAAACCGATTCTATTCTTGGCTGGAAACAAAAATAAAGAAAATCATCAACGAAACACACAAAAAAGAAATGCTCCTTCGTGACTACACTACGGCGTAAGATATATGACGATGATGAATCAGATTCAGACCGCACACGCACACTCATTCGAAACGATGATCATAATGCACATTTTGTGAAAAGTTCAAGCATGCGCTGTGAACACAAGACAGATAAACATACATCATCAAGTCAACCGAAGAAGATGCTATACAATCACTGTGTGTGTGGATGTGTATTTTCCGCGCAAACGGAAAATCGACTTTGAGAAATGCCAAACGAAGTGTGAAAAAGAGAAAGCAAATTTATTTTTAAACAACCACACATCGTCTGCTATTGTGTTGAAATGTTTGGTGTGCATGTGTTTGCATATGTTTGTGTATGTGTGTGCGCAGATATGTTTATTATATTCACTGTTCCGTTTGCCGTTAAGTTAAATAAACATCTATCATTAAAATTATTTTTGATTCTACGATGTATATATCATAAAATGAGGTGATTTTTTTAACAAAACATTCGCTCAATTATTACTCAGACACACCCACTAACCCGAATAATTTTGATATGATTTTTGCATTTCAGTGGACTTACGTAAATCACTTGGTCTCGGATAGTCCACCTTGTTAATCCATGGTAATGAACATTTTGTTGTATTCAAACAGCAGGAACCATTTACCGATGTAACATCACTCAAACTATTATCACTGTCGCACACATTTGGCATTGACGTTGAAGAAATCGATGAATTGTCAATGTATTTCTGCAAACCGTTTACATTCCCTGGCTGTTGATCATGTTCGCTCCTCATTGTCGAATGTGCATTTAATGTGGATGGCGAAAATGTCCCCGAAATGGGATCGACTGTGCTAAGTGAAGACGACCGGAAATGTGTACAGTTGGATGGAAGGCAGCCCAATCTCACACCATATCGTATTGTGCCGAGTGTAATATAACCAGCCTCTGGTATTGCTCTACATGAATTTGAAATGAGAAAAACGCCGTAAATTAGGCAAACCATATAACATTTGAATAGTTTTCATTTTTTTTAAACGCAAAACGGTTGCTCTCTTTGCTTTTATTTACCTTTTCCATTCTTTGCCGTTGGAATCATTTATAGTGCTCGATTTGTTCGATGTAATGGCGATTGGTGATTTGGCAACTGTATCACTTTCATTGGTAGCCATGTGTGCTGTCGAATAGCCGTATGAAAAGTCCATTATAAATTCGAAACGTTTTTGCCAGAAAAGCGAATGAAATCCACTATCCCAATAATCATGTCAAGAACCTGTAATTTGCGAGAAAGAAAAAAATCAATTTGTAAAACTCCCATTGTATTGCGGATTGGTAGCGGCCTAAACGTGATCTGATTAAATATTATGGTTTCACAACACCGTTCGATAATATGAACATCAAACTTAGTGATTCTAAAAAGAGTGAACTCATTTTTGTGAATTTCAGTTTCCACCTTTGATGCGAAAATGAGTTCATATTTTCACAAATAAAAGAGCATATATTTTTGCGCGGTCATTTTGTTTTGACGCTTCATCCTTCTTTTAACTTTGGCGCAATTCATGCGTAAATTATAATAACAAACTCAATTGAATAAATTCCATTGTTATCTGAGGAATGCAAATCAAAACAGTACACAACTGATGGATGTGATAAATGGAGATAAGATAAGTTTGGAATATGGTACACGCTGCAAAAAGTGCAAAAAAGTTCTATAAACGGCTCTTCTCAGTAAAATTTCAAATGCAAAAATTCCATAGCACACAGATTAAGTTATTTTCGTGAATTACTCATTCATCGAGTATTTCTGCACAATGACAGGAAATAACATTGTAATTAACGGGTTTTAACATATCGAATACCTGGTGTGCACAATTAATATTTTGGAATTTATAAAAATTAAGCTTTATACTGAAATTTTGTGGAAGGAGCAAAACGAATTATGCATACTATAAATCTAATTGCTTTTCCTTTTTATTTCTATGCGCATTTTTGAAGTTTATTGCCTGAAAATCGTAAAAATATACGGCAGTAGTTCAGAGACGGCGGCATTTTTCAATCAGTTTTTCATTTTCTGTTTCACAATCAATACACCAATTACGTATATTTGGTAAATTAACATTATTTTCTATGTATGTGGGCATCAACTTTCCAAACCATTTGAATGTTTGATTCACAAAAAGCCCGATTTGAACAACACAGATTCCAAGCAATGAATGAAATCATTATAAATGTGCGAGTTGAAGATCAATGAAGAAAACCAATTTACAAAAGATCTATTTCTATATGCAAGAGTTTTTCAATAATCATCAATTTCGCAGACGCAAACAGTTGTGGTGTGTGCATGATAGTTGCAAAGAATACGGTAAAGTGTTAGTTTTTGTGCACAACGTGCATTCAACTTGAATTTAACAACGTACATTCAACTTGGTGGTAAAAATACGCTGTATTGATCTTGAGAAAATGTGTGCCAAATTTCGGTGAGCAATTTTAGTTTTATTCATTTTCTCGTATACAGTGAGTCGTGATAAATTGAATTGAAATTTCTTTTCACCACACGAGACTTTTATTGATTCGAACCAACGAATGAATTGTCAAACTGTAAAAATACAAGTGATTACATCGTCTTTCGCCTATTTACAGATGCAAAAATCAATAAAATAATGAGTACCAAACATCGATTTTTCTTGACCGTTGAATTAATGCCAAATACATTCCAATTAGGTGATGTGTGATTTTATTGCACGATGATAAATATTATCGAGAATTTTATTTAGACACTTTTCTATATGCGAAACGAATGTTTACTGGGAATTTTTTTTTCTGAACAAATTACTTTTTTTGTCGAAGAAGAAATGATTTTTTTATTTTATTAATTTTATCAGCATGCTAAAGCATACACCGCGAACGAAAAAGTTCTGTTGCAATGCGTAAGGTTGGACTTGATTATGACGTGAGACAATTACGTTGCCATAATTGACGTATTTTTGAGTTCATCAGCTATATCGTTTGCAAATCAAAGAATAATTTTACAAGCATGGAGGAAAAAAAAAGTACACAAAGTCTTTACTCAAGCGCAACACGCTTTTGCTGTTTAAAACTGATTGTTGAAGGTGCGAGAGTATGTTATTGTTCACGCAACGCATCAAAGAGTCCTCCATATATAATCACTTTCACGCACCAATCGAATGGCCAGCAACCAAACACTCAATTACATGTTTTGATTTTGTGTATAAGTTTTTTGTTTTGTTTTCGGTTCGGCCAGAGTAACATAATCTGCACAGACAATCTGTTCCTTTTCGATGGTCTTCTTTGTAATTTCTTTCGTTCTTAGCCTTCTTCATTTTGGCATTTTATCTTGCAATCGGCAATAACACTCTCTTTTAAACCGTATGAATATTATGCGAATATCATTGAGTTTGCAATGTTTTCATGACGACCAAAATCGAAACAACCAAAAAGGAACAAAACTTTTGTATCATTTGGTTTGGATGTTATTTGTTCATTCAATATAAATCAGGCACCGTCATTGTATCGACTTGCGTAACGTATTTTTTTTCTTCTTCATTTGCAACACTTCAGACAGCGCGAGAATCGTGCTTCTCTTCAAATGGTTTGCATCACATTTTTATGCGATATATTTGCTTCGTGCACGCATCAATACATGCAACATGGAAATTCATCTACAAATTTCCAAGAAATAACGTTCTTTTCACATTTTTTCCCCTCATATAATTGATTAATTGACATTAGGTGGATTTTATGGACTTTTTACATTTTAAAAAAATCGTTTAGTCTTCAACAATGCACGACTGATGACTCTTAAAAATTTGATACTTTCATCTTTTGCTGTTTTTGTGTGCAAATTTGCCTAAATATAACTTTTCAGCGAGTTTAATTAGTTGAAATTCGTTGAACAATCATTTTCGCTTTCCAGTGGCAGTCGAACCTTTATCGATATCATCGTTTACAAAGTGAAAGCAAAAAAAAAGAAGACTTATTGAGTGTTGATTTTGTTCACATATCGTAATGAAAAGAAAAGAAAAAATGATTTTTTAATCAACCGATGATTTAGAAGCACCTTTTGCATCTCTTGTCTTACCCATATAAACGAACCAAAAAGAAATTTCTCATTTCATTCGACAACAAAATTTAATAAGTATTTTTTTAGTTTTCGTCTCTTGCGAAATACCGAAAAAATCGCGTTTTTTCTTCTTTGGGACTAAGTATCAGATACAGCTCATAAATTTTCGTAACACAAACGAAACAAAAACGCCAGCAACAACAAAGTGTTTTATTTTTGTGTTTCATTGCACTTTTGTTTTCAGTATTAATCATACATGATATATATGCAGCTCTGTTTTTTATATGGTCATCAAACAGTTGAGTGCTGCCACAATTACTCGATTTATTGCATATCCGTGTCCCGAATATGAAATCGAACAAATGAAGAAGAAAAAAGCAACAAGCCCCACAGAAAAACGACACCAAATGAAATGCATTCAAGTCAATCTCAAATTCAATTCAATCTTTTTACACTGAAACTCCAAGTCACTTTGGCATCCAATTACTTCGTTTTCATCGTTCTTACACACACACACGCACACGTACACTGTTCATTCTGGGCGAGCGAAAAACAATCAAAAACATGAATTAAAGGAATACCATCGCAAATGCGCACACACTCTTCAAATTTACAATAATGATCAACGGTAAATTTTCAGATTTACTATATTAAATCCATACTCAACATGCATACTCAATGTTAAAACCACCTCTTGAGAACTGTTCTTTTTGGCTTTTACACCGAAAAAATGGCACCGAATGCAAAATTTCGAATAAAAGGAGAGAATAAACAGAGCAAAAGCATTGGAAAACTTGGATCATGCATTTTTAATTGCATCACGTTCATGAATGCCCAGTTGGCGCACCAAGATAAAACTGAAAAGAAGACGAAAAATATTCTCAAGTGGAAGTAAGTCATCACACGGTTCCATCCAAACATTTTCGGCTTGCCAAAATGTGTTGATTGCGTTTGTAACCAAAAAGAACGGCACTCCTTTTACTGCCAGCTAAAACGCTTTTGGCTCAAATGTGTTGAAAACACAGCAAAAAAAAATGGATACACATTGCACGTGCAAAAAATCGTTGAAACCATCGTCGCCTGACTTACATTGTTTAATGCTCTTTAGTTTATGCTTCCGGATACGCATCGATTTTAATTTTCACAAATTCAGAGTGACATCGCAAGACAAGCGGCAATGTAAACAAATAGATGTGCGATCAAAATGAATATACGAACATTTTCTTTACATTATGAGCTCGAAAAGAGTGGATGTTTATATTTATGACTCACCCGTTGCGAATTTATTGTGGCGTGAATTTTAATTGGTTTTTTTTTTATGAAAAAAATTCTTAATCATTTAAAGCACTTAAAACAGTATGAAACACCCCCACATACAACAATAATGTCCATTAAGGATAGTTATTGTTGATGAAAACAATAATAAAAAAACACATTGTGGCACTCATCAAAAACACACTCAACTGATAAAAGTTCTTAATTTTTGATCTTTGCTTGAACGAATGCCCGAGGTGTCCAGTCCACCGGAGGCCTCTTTTCGATCTGAGCAGTAAATTTATGATTACTTGCAATCACGTTATGTTGTCGCTGTGTTGACCAATTTGTGCGCATGTTTAATTAAAAGGATCGATGAAATTATTGTAATTATAATGTATGTTGAATGTTGTGGTTGTTATTTATTTTCTCAGCTCACCGATTTAAATACTGTTATTTCGCCACACACTTTAGGCACTCGGCTTTTCTGTTTGTGAAAATGTTAAGTATTATTTAGTATGTAACGGTAATTGATTGGCAATAAAAATATACGCAAATTGATAAACGTGATTGTGTTTTGTATGTGAAAAGATTTTTTTTTGTGTGTCACCGAATATGTGCATATCTGAAATGCAAATACGTGCAACATTTGGACATCGCGACATTTGTAATCGTTTTGTTACATCGCACGCAAAAAATGTCATGGATGTCATTTGGTAAGTTTGCGTGATTCGCCAAATTTTTGTTCTTCTCCTTTCCATTTGATAATCTCAACGGCACAATTCGTGGACATTGGACTTAAATCACATGCACATAAGTCGATATTAATTTGAATATACATCACATTTCGATGAAACCTTTCAAATCGAATCATTTACACAGCAACTACTTCCCATACTTTAAACATATCTGACTTTCAGCAATTGATCACAATTAAA